TTGGTCCTTGGGCGAATCTACCTCAGGCGTATCCTTCTTATCCGATGCCTGGGATGGAGAGTTTACCGCGGTGGGGCTGTTTGAACGCTCCTTAGTTCTAAGTGATTCCTTTTCTTTAAGATAGCTTTGAATCCTATTAGATGTCTCATCATCTAGTTTGAGGTCATCAATTAGCACCCCCTCCGTCTGGCAACCTGGGCAAATGAAGTCGCTCTCAATGAGAGCATTGGTGATGCAATCATTGCAATACGTCTTCTCACAACATGGAGTCTTCATTGGGTCTATGAACATCCTTTTGTCGATGGCGCACAGTAGGCCTTTCTCTTCAAGATCCTTATCCCCAGCAGATGCTGCTTTCTGAGCAGCTGACGACGACTTTGTTTTTGCCTGGTACTGCTCCCATGAAGCCTTGTCAGGCTCTGCGATCACGAATTCACCATCTGCATTGACCATGACACCAGCCGGTGGCTTAACTTCCTCGCCGTCTGTACCAGTCTGCTGGAGTGCTGACTTGTCTACAGTCTTCAGGAACGAACGAGGGATTCCTGTAGTTCGCTTTACACGAGGGCGGTTGTCAAATTCAGGGTTGTCGTTAGTAGGACACACTTGAATCCAGTGTCCCTTCTGTCCGCATCGATAGCAGATGTAGCCATTTGGGGGCTCGTGATCAGGGACATTGGCAGGCTTCTTTGCACCTGGTTTGTATACTGCAGTTTGACTACCATCTGTTAGCATATATATATAGAACAAGATCGCGTTTTACTAGCAAACTTACTGAGACATCTCCTCTTGCTGGGCAGTCCACTGGTCTGATTGAGCTTGGAACATGGCCATCATCTTCTCTTCTTCGGTCATTGCCGCGTTCATCTGTGTGAGTCCAATGGTGGCAGGCTTAGCAACCTTAGTCGCGTTCTCGCGTCGTGACGAATTCTTTGCGCTCGCCGGCATCTTTCCCGAGACATAACGAGCAGCTCTACCCGCGCCGGGTTTCTGAGGCGGAAGTCGGCGAGCAACAACTGTAGTAGATCGAGGTATAATAGTTGTGTCATCGTCGTATTCTATAAGCTGATTAGCACCATCGTCAAATTATCTAGAATGTGAACATACCTTCACTTCCGTCTTCAGAATAGATGGCTAGATCGAAGTCCGTTCCATCGCCTAGGCCACTCTTTACGATTATGTCACGTTTGAGTTCGAAGACTGAGATGCCAGTGCCATCAAATTCGACACGTGACGGCTCCTTTTGGGACTTGAACTTGAAAAACACAGAGGAAGTCATGATGAAAAAATAGTACGCCTAAAGCGTGTCACAAGATGTGTAGAAAGGGGAATATAATCGCAATAGATCGCGAAGCGTTGGGCAACAGACGATCCTAGAGAGTTGGGTGAAATATATGATGCAATTGATGCAAATCTGTTGTGGGTTGTTCGCAAACTTAGTGAGAGTTTTGTATTTTTGTTGGTGGTTGAGGAACTTTGCGTGACTATTGTAAACTCTCGCTTTCTTTCCTGTTTTCTTCTCAATGACCAACTGGCAAGAAAAAAAAAAAGTAGATGGGTATCAATTCAGTTTGTACCTGGAACAACAACGAATGCTCGTGCTCCAGTAAAAGAAAAATGGAGATGTACAAAGCCAAAGGCGGACTTGACCACCAAATCAGCTCCTGTGATGAAAAGGCAGAAATGCCACCAGAAGTCCAAACCACGACCCCAGAGTACCGTCAAAATCTCGTTAGCCCGAGACCACCAGCCTATCCTACCAGAATTTCACTGATTACAAGTTAGTTCACGACGGATCAGCGAACCATTGCTTGTCCTTTGGGTTGTATAGCGGCGTTGCTGAATGAAGGCGATCGAAGAGACGAGAGAATAATGGTTAGTTGTTCTTGGTCAGGATCTCGAGTGCACGGTCGCAGAAGTCGGAGACAGCAGCGAGGACGATGGCTGGTCGCGATACTAGAAAATCGTAGCAACAAGACGTAAAGCTTGATGCAGAAGTGATAATCTGAAAGAAATGGGTGATGGAAATGATGGCGTTTGGGTGGGAAAGAGCAGGTTAAGAAATAGTGTGAGAAGAGGAAGGAAGCGTTAAGTGCGTTAGGTGATTGTGAATGAAGAGAGAACTAGCGCGGGAGAGGAGGTGGCCTTAGATGCGGATATATTAGTCAGATACTTCCGTGCGGTACGAAGTAGCCGTGCGTGTAGAAACTGAGAGATATGTAAATTCTGCACGTGACAAAATATGGTCTTTGCCCCACTCCCGCTGCTCCGTCTTTTTCTCATCTCGATTGCAGGTTCCCGAGCACCAGCCGAACCTTTCCAACATTGAATCTGCCTAACCTGTCACATACATTGGACTTATATCAATAGAAGTATGTACTACATATAAGTGGGCTGTGTACTGTAGTTTGTTTGCACTTGAGGACATACCCAAGTCAAATTATACAAACAAGCAGGTACATAACATATATAGGCCAATCAGACATATTGCTCGCGTCATCATAGGTATTATTGGTGATTTGATTTATAAAAGTACTAATGATTTTCCTGGAATGCCCCTTCCAACCCCGGTACCTATGTAGTCTATATCCACGAACTATCCTAGTAAAGATTAAACACATGAAATATTTTAGTTTCTCGGTAAAAATTTCCGTAGAAATGTCTGCTCTAACCACTGGCTCGAAGGCCTCAACCATTAATCCGAAGCAGCTGCTGTCCTATCTTTCTTCTCGTTGGAGGTAACCTCGTTGGCATGCCTTGCGGTCCTTCGTCCAGTACGAATGTCCCGGCGCGATGTACAGCAACAGCATAGGCCAGCATGGATAATAAAGGAAATCAATGTAAATCCAGTTGCTATCCACATAAATGCAATCATCTTTATACCAACATCAGCTTTGACGTTTAGGTCGGTCTGTGATGTCAAGGCGTATTTAAAAATAAGGGACATAGCCGTGCCAAGGGCGCTAGCGATCAGGACCAGCAGCGTAGAAAGTAAGGCGAGGAAACCCAAAGGACCGCTCCACCATCGCGAGAACACGACAACTGGGGCCAGGCACATCAGGACAAAGTTCAGAAGCAACCCCGTAAGGAAAAACCCGAACATGATATTTGAGGCGATGCGTAAGATATTCAAGATTTCGTTCACTTGGGAAGGTAACGCGATGGAAGCTCCAGCAAATAACTCGCCAAGTAGGATCTCTACTGGGTTGAACCAATAGAGAGTAGTTGGGGTTGAACAATATGTGATTCCACTAATACTTATGTTAGCTGGGTGTTCTTGTAGATGGGGGTCTCTACGTACTCGGTATCATATCCTTCGCAAAAATTCCAGAGGCCAACTTGATAGAAATCGTGTAAACCTAGAGTTCGTGCGATCGAGTTTTGCAAAGTCAAACTTGTCGGCGCTGATTGGGGAAGAATGTCGGAAAGATCAAGTTTGAAGAAGTAGATGTCACGTAGAACCGGGGCATTTCTCGTATTTCCTATCTCAACCTAGAATATGAAGAGGCGGTTAGTATTGTCTAAATGCAAGTGAAGAATCGGGTCTTACCAGAATCAAGAAGATGACGGCCATCATATAGCAGAAGCATGATATCCCGATAGCAACACGGCGTGCTCTAGTTTCCCTCTTTAAGACGGCCGGGTTTTCAATGCTAGGCTGGGGGCTTTCCTTTTGGCCATTGTGAGAAGAAGACGTCGCTGTCGCCGGTCGCCTTCGAAAATTAGAGAGAGATCCAAAGGACATATTCGATAAATCCTAGAGTTCAAAGTGCGCCGGGTTTCTCCAATCTCCCAGGACTTAGTCTTAGCAGCTTATGTAGATGTAGTTAACCACAGATTTCATAAACTGGTCAGAAGATATAAGTCAGATTGGATTGCGGAGAATGGTTGTTGAAAACAACTGACGGGTAAACCGCACGAGATCCCAATGCACGTGAGTACGGATCCGTACCTACATAGGAAGAAAACAAGGTAACATTAGAAGATAAAAAAAACACTTTCGAGTTGTCGTTGAGATCGTCAACTAGTCAACTAGTCAGGAAGGGCAATGGGGGGGAAAGCCTGATCTGAGCAGGCGATCATCGCATATGTAATTATTGATTGGTCAACATGATTGATATCAGAGAGGTACCAAGTAGGTACAACTCCAGTACATCTACTCCTTTTTTGAGGCTTAGAGTTTGGAAGCCCTTCCAAGGTAAGGTTAGCCCCACTCAAGGAACTCAAAGGATCCTTGCACATCTTATATCGACTGCCGGGTAACGGATCTTGCTGCCACTTGCCAAGACACTTTGTGGGCTCTGTGGGAGTGAACCAGATTTTGGGTACCTATCAATACTTTGAAACATGCCTGAGCTTATTCATAATTCCACCAATTGTGAAGTTAGGTACCTAACCTATCTGTATGAATACGAAGTACGGAATATACGAATGCAATAAGCGCTTTATTTTAATTCAACTATCCCTGTTACATCCTTGCGATCGCGCTTAATTTCGAATACAGCGTATTCTTGCTGTCTATTCAAATAGAGATGCATTCAGGCACCTTTTCATTAGGTAAGTGTCCCGCCAGGCCCGTTAGATATAGGCTAGATATGTGCTAAAGGCAGACACTAAAAATGCTTTGATACTGATCGACCAGGTTTACAGTTCCGCCCCGTATTTCTCAGCTACCGCTGACATCACTCCCTGGCGCCAGCGGAAGCAGCAGCCAGCCACGGCCCACGGACGCATGTAAACCCTGCCGCTTTCCCTGCAGTCTGGCAATCTGCTTCAGGACAGCTCGTTATCCACCACTCGATAGTTCCGCTTAAGCGGTATCGTATGCAATAGCCTTTATCAAGTAAGGTACATACATGTAGCTCAGCCTTCCAACTTTTGGCTTGTAATCCCACATAGGTAAAAGTTAGCTCTCATGTATCTAAAAGTACCTACAGCCCACCAAGTGACTTACCACCAAGTGACCTAAGTCACCAGGGGTGGGCACGTTGCTGGAACCCGTTGCCGAAGCAGAGACAATTGTCATCTCAACTTCTCAAAGGAAATTCTTTTTCTTCTTTCGGGTGATTGGAACAAATTCAAGCCTTCTCTTGCTACGATACCATTACCTCATCACCAATACCCTCAAGTGGCTTTCTTCATGTCTAACTACACTTAATCCTCTCCCTACAACCCCTAGGAAGCTATGGCACCACCGTTCGGAAGCCTGGCGCTGTTAGCCACGGTCGCCGGAGTGCTTGGACAAACTACCATTAGTGACGATAGAACTACCATGACCGGCTCGACAGTCTCATTAACTAAAGTTACGACTCCAACCGATGCATATCAGTCTTTTTCTACCCAGATTACTCTGGGTACTGGCCTTGGCTCGATCGAGACCGATGGTACTTCTATAGCTTCCAACAGCACAACAAAGTCTACAATAAAGTCCCCGAAGAGCGAGACGGTGACGTTCCTGACTGGATCTGTTGTAACGACAACGTCATCATCTGGTGAGAATGTCACTTCTTCTACTTCGTCACCCACGCCAGAAGTGACCAATACGCAACCCTGCAACAATTATCCTGAGTTTTGCAGCCGAAAATATAGCAATATTACGCAAGTCGCTTGCCACAACTCCCCCTTTATCACGCCAAACAATTTGGCAGCGAACCAACAGTACGATGTTACGTCTCAGCTAAATGACGGTGTACGATTTATCCAGGGCCAAATACAATGGCCTACTGGAGGGAACGAGCCTCATTTCTGTCATACGAGCTGCGATATCCTTGACGCTGGCCCGATCACCGACTGGCTCACCCAAGTGAAGAACTGGGTTGCAGCCCATCCCTACGATGTAGTTACCATACTCCTAGGCAATGGAAATTAGTAAATCTAACCCTAAACTAATTTGTAGAGACAGCAGCTAACATATATTATAGTTCGGTTCCCAGCTTATACGTGCCATATATTGAGCAAACCGGCATACTGCGGTACATTTACACGCCGCCCTTCGTTCCTATGGCCTTGGATGATTGGCCAACTCTAAGCGAAATGGTTCTGAAAGGACAAAGAGTCGTGATGTTCATGGACTACATGGCAAACCAAACACAATATCCGTGGCTCCTGGACGAGTTCTCGCAACTGTGGGAGACACCGTTCGACCCGGTTGACCAGAAATTCCCCTGTACCGTGCAACGCCCACCGGACTTGGCCGAGAAAGATGCCAAGAACCGGCTGTACATGATCAATCACAACCTAAACATTGAGCTTTCCATCCTCGGCACTGATATGTTAGTGCCCGCCCGGACGGAGCTGAACGTGACAAACAACGTGACAGGAGTTGGCAGCCTTGGTCTTTCGGCTAACAACTGCCGCACTGACTGGGGGCGAGCGCCAAACTTCTTGAACGTGGACTACTACAATATGGGAGGGTTTCCAGGATCCGTCTTCGAAGTGGCTGCTCAGATGAACAATGTCACTTATAACCGCCAGTGCTGTGGTATGAATACGAGCGGAGCGGGAAGTCTACTTAGCGGCGAATTCATATACCCATTAGCAATGCTGATAGCATTTTGGGCATTACTATGTTAAATAGAGTTTGCATTCATGGAGTCATCGCGTGGGCGGCATATTTATAGAGGGAGCGTATGCTGCGTTCAGGCTTGCGACTCGGGCCAACGGCATTGGAAACTGACACAGTTGATCTTTGGGATTTAATCTATAATTTAATAGAAGCCTTCTTTCTATCTACAATGTTTATCGGGTTTACTGTTACTATTTATGTAAGGAGAGTTCTCTCTAGAGACTTTGTGTCACACAAGACAGACACACAGACGAATAGCGATTTCTATACTTGGGATGTCGCTTGTCCTTGTACTGAGGCTTACAAGGCATCATATTTTAAGGATAAGCATGTCTTATAATAAATCATCAAGACAGTGTCTCCTACATACCACTTTTAACTTAACCTATTGCGAGACAGCTACATACGTAGTTAACCGTATAAATAAATTCCTAAACCCGTCTCAACAATTTTCCGTCAGATCTAAACATGTGTAGACCATATACGCAACACGACAACGCACGGGGATGTAGCATCAATATTCCGCTTCTCTCCATTCTTCTGCATTAACAGCCGACACCACATCATCATGCTTCAACGCCATACGCCTTAAGCGCCGTGCCGCCCCAAATCATGCGCTTCTCCTCGTCTTCAAACGATGCCATCCAGCACAGGCGATCGACGATCTTCTTCCACTTCTGCCAGGCGTCGTCACCTACACCAACGGTGCATACGGGCCAGTCGCTCGCGAACATGATGCGGGAGGCGCCGAAGGCGGCGAGCACAACGCTCAGCCAGGGGCTGATCGCGTCGAAGATGTCTTCGGGGGAGCGCTGCCGCAGGGCCTCGGGCATCTCGGCGAAGCCGCCTGATAGCTTCATGTACGTCCGGCTGCACTTGCTCAGGGTGAAGATGGCGGTGCGCCAGGCGATGAAGGACGGGCTGGTTTGCACGTTGTAGATGCCGAGGTCGGGCTTGCAGAGGTGGTCTGTGGGGTGTTAGTTTGCTTGGTGCTTAGGTAGGGATGATGAGGGCATTGGGAGTAGGTTTTATAATGGCGAGCACTGACTGATTATAAAAGTTACTCTCTGGTCCTCGGGAACGCCATCGTGTGCGCGGTCGATCATCTCGACGACTTCCTCGAGTTGGGTCCTGCCGCGGTTATGCTGGTCGACGCCTAAGTCGAACACGAAGCCCCGGCGGCCGAGCAGCTTCAAGCTCTCGATGAAGTTATCCTGAAGCATGGTCCCGTTGGGCTTGTCCTGCAGCAGGTATCTGAAGCCCCTGACCTTGGGCCAGCTCTCGCCGGCTTCTTGCTTCACTAGGTCGAGATACTTCTCCATGGCAGCAACGCCGCTGGGCAGCGGTGCCCAGGGTATGTAGGCGGTACATAGCGAGGCGTCTTCCGCAGTATGGCCCTCGCCCGGCTTTGGTTGGCCGGTGATGATGCGTTTCAGCCAGGAGACTTCTTGGAGTGGGTACTCCCAGCCTTTCTCCCCAGCTTCCAGGTCATTCTTCCGGTCTGTCTCTACGAAGATGAAGCCCTGGGGTGTAGAGCCCTCGGTGGCAGCTCTGTATTCTTCTAGCGAGTGCTGTTTGTTCAGTGGGTGCTCAGGTGTGGGCCATGCTAAAGTTGAGAGCTCTGATTCGGGATAGAGGTGAATGTGTGCGTCGATGATAGGAATATCGGCAGCCATGTTTGAAGAGTTTGAGTATTTCTTTGGTGTATATTTATTTATCTGATCTCCTCTTTTTACCTAGATTGGTTCTATTCGAGCTAAGTTTCGAATAGGAGAAAATAAGGATTGGAAGGGTACCTAAAAGTTTAAAAACAATTGTAGTGTAACCAAACAAGCTTCATCTAAAGCTTCACGCGACTGCCTCTCTCTATTCTCTAATTCTCCCAAGCTACTACTCCCTGCCTTACCCTGTTGTACCTTACCCCGCCACGACCTCCTACTGGAAGCCCACTATTTCCCCTGAGATGGTCTGGTCTGGCTATGGATGTACATTGTATGCATAGTCGCCCCACATGCCACTTCCAAACATTGTCCGTCATTCGCTTTGAAACCCGATACTTCACATACTTGGAAGTACATTGGCGGATGCGTACCGACCGATGTGGTGGTTCTGTTACGAAGTTAGGTTAAGCTATCTTGTGTCAATTGTAACTGGTGGTGTATCACAGGTGTAATATAGGTGATGAGCACGGGGAAAAGGCGGTATAGCACAGTGGAATATTATATTCACTCTATGTTGGATCGTTATAATACACTGTGTTGCCTTAACCCCAAAACGTTAGACAAGCTTCAAACGGTTACTCAATTGGGAAAACTGTTATCGCTCGTTGTTTCTGAAGACGAAAGCGGCCCCCCCTGCTAAATAAAAGGTTTATATAAGGTATATGACATCTTAAGCATCTATCTCATAGACAATTCATCAAGAAACTAATTGTCAACGCCCAGGGATTTCTCATAAGTCGGCAGTTTCCTAGCATCCTTCTGCCGCTCAACAACCTGGCTAGCAGTATCTTTCATCGACCGTATACCCTCTTCCCTAAGCTCCAGGACCTTCTTCGTAGCAGGCCGTTTCGTCATGTTCGCGTTCCAGCGGTAGTATTCGGGAAATTCCTTCTCCAGATCCAAAGTGCCTCCGGGGAAGACAGTGCCGAGGAGAGTATTCCATGACACGAACGAGAGGTCCGCGTACGTACACTTGTCGCCGACGAGCCAAACAGGTTCGTCGGAAGATAGGCCTAGCTCCTGCCTCTGTTTGCGCAGCGAGTCGTTCACGACGCCCATGATGCGCCTGGCCTCAGCCGCGTAGCGATCTATTGCCGTCTGCACGTTCTGCTCTATGTGGATGTGCGTGAACCATACTATTCCGCGAGTAAGTCGGGTTAGCTAGATGTTTCCTAGGAGGATACACGTAGTGAGGAGTTTTATGATAATCTGAAAATACGTACCCTTTTGGCCAAACATAGGGCCTTGGCCGCTCATCTGGAACATGAGCCAACTCTGAAGCTGCCACTTCTCCTGAAGTCTATCGTCTCCATACGTGAGCGTGAGGTCCTTGTCGTAGGTGGCGATGAGATAGTTGATGATAGCGCCAGACTCCCAGAGTGTCACATTCTTATTCGGGTCGACCATGGCGGGAAGCCGTCCATTGGGATTCAGAGAAGTGTACGGTTCGGATTTGATCTCGCTATACGGAATCCAGACGATATCATATGGTATACCGAGCTCTTCAGCTACAATGATGGGTTTCCAAGGGTTAGGTCCTTGACCGTGAGGCCCATTGTAGATCTTGATAGGCTGCATGGTGAATATCAATGTCGAACTAGAATAGTTTGATAGCTTCACAGGTTTATGGCGGAAGCCAGCTTGTCCTCATCTTATACTTATAGCTTCTTATAGCCTTATCTAGTAGAGCTCGACTAACATTGAATTTATCTTTTGACTCTCGAACTTAACATCGGCGCCGAAACTAATAAATCCGCAAAGCCCGTGAACGTGCAGTTGATTATATGAGGTACTACACGATACTTATGCCTAGCGATGACTCGACGAACTGGGGAGACTTCCGAGAACCGGCAACGATGGCGATGATCGTCGGAGACTCACTCTCGGTCTATGCAGGACGGACATCTTTGAGAGCTTTCACCTATATATGATGTCCTATGAGCATGGAAACTTGGTGAGCAAGTATGCTTTATGGTAAATCCGATATTTAGTGATTATGACATTTGTCATCTCATAGCGATCCTCCGGCCAAATTGGCCGATAGGGAAGGATAATGGCTTCTTAGCCAATCGAAAGCTGCATAGAGAGTGTAAGGAAGCTACCTAGCATATGGAGATAAATACCGGCTACTAAGGTAAACAAAACGAGTAGGTAGTCAGTACTGTGTCAGCTTCAAGACCCAGGGGTTTCTTGCACGATACAACAGCGATTATATAAATGTAACGACTCAATGACTTAACCACGCATCCCCCACATTGTAATGGCATGTGTGGGCATCTTATGATTGATATTAACTGTATTACATGCCTTCTTCCAATGCTAGAGCTGTAAATAGGACGATCACAATACGCTCAGTACCGATGTAATATCTTCCCACTAGAGTACATATGCCAATAGCACCCTGGTCTCGTTTGAGCCTCTATTTCCCTTGAATGACACCCTTATCACGACCCAAAGGCATCGTAACGCCACGCTACCTAACCCCAGACGACCCAATGGAGTCCGCATATACCTTACTCCGGGGGCACATACGGGTGGATCAGCATTTCGCTGAATTGTTCCAGCTTCTCCTTGCCCCGGACTTCCTCCACTAGAAGCGGCATTCTGACCACGTTGAATTCGTCGTATAGCTCCTCGATTTGATCTAGATATTTCTTCTGCATTTTCCGTCGGGCATTGCATTGCTCGCAGTTGCTGCCTTTTTTGGGGAATAATAGCTGGTTCACCACAATACAATGTGTGTCGATGTTGTAGCTAGCTAGCTCCTGAATCATACGTTCTGTCTCGTACAGACTCAGGAATTCAGCTATACAGACACAGACAAACGTGGTTAGGTTCTCGTCCTTGAATTGTGTGTTGACCTCAGAAATAGTCTGGCGAAGACTCTCCAGCTTCTCCATCATCTCGTTCAAGTTCTGACCGTTCGGAAGTGTACCTTGGTTTCCGAGGAAGCCGTTAAGTAGGGGCCCATATTGCGAAGAGAGTTGGGAAACCTTAGCGAGAGCTTTCTCGAGGACGGATGGGAACTGGAGGAAACGGAGTGTGTGACCTGTGGGTGCGGTGTCGAAGATGATGACTTCGTACGAGAGGGATTTGACTTGTTTGAGGACCTCTGCGAAGGACATGGCCTCATCTATACCGGGGATCTAGAACGTCGTGTTAGCTTGAGTAGCATGCAACGTCATGTCATATCGTAGTACTCACTGCAAATGCTAAATCCTGCATCATGCCCCCCACGCCACTAAGCGGATCGCTATTTTCCTCACCCTGTCCGGCTATTAAGTCCTGAATGCTTCCATTTGGGTCGATCTCCATAGCGCTTAGATTAGAGAATCCCTCTATTAATCGCGCCTCCTTGCCGAATTTCTGGGAGAAGGCGTCGGACAAGTTGTGAGCAGGATCAGTCGAGATGAGCAGAACCGAGCGACGGACTTTAGCTAGTTGTATAGCAAGAGAGCACGAAGTTGTCGTCTTGCCTACACCTCCCTTTCCGCCGACAAAAATCCATCGCAGCGTCTTCTGGTCTAGAATACACTGCAGGGTCGGCTCGAGGCCATCATCAGCAGAGACCACAGCAGTGGACATAATGGCCGAGGTTGTAAAAGTTGGAGGGGAACAGTGTGTGACGAAGAAAGATTCGAGGAGAGTATGAGAAGACGGTGAGGAGTACCTGGCTGTGCGAGGCTGTGCGAGTATGAGTTACTAGTGTAGATTAAAAGAGTGTAATTAATTGTCGTGGCATAAATTTGGAGGTAGATTCTGGAAGACCAAATGGAATCGCGTTGAGCTTCTAAGCAAATCAAAATTGCCCCGCGATTGATCCCCAATAATGAACGGAGAGGTACGTACATGTATTATGTACCTATTTTGGTGGGGGATAAAGTACCTAAGTACTATGTACAGCCTCACAAGCCACATACAATAAGGGGCAAGTACATCGTACATCTGGTTATATAAATCTTGACATCCATTGCAATCGTGACTTTACAAACCACTCTTACGACTAACAGTCTAACACTATTCACAGACATCGGAATTAGAACTTATAAAAATTTTGTGAAATCCCTTAATATATCGTAGCTCGAAAGTATTATGATTTTTTAAGGAACCATTTCCAAATATTGAACTACCTAATCCTCCCTCAACTGACTCAATCATTCGTCTTCTACTGTAAATGACACCATCATACATCTATGATGCTAGCAGTCTCATTTATCTCCAGTGTTATGAAGGGCGTTGGGCACAGCTTTTTCAATGTTCTCGGGGACCTTCTCCTGAACCTTCTTAGGTAGAATTGATTCCTCTCCTCCGCCCTTTGCGTGAGTCTTGCTAGTGGATTGGCCTGGGTTCTTGCCAGTGGGATGGATCTTTCAAGATGGTTAGCGGAAGTAACTATGAATAAATATCTCAGAGGCTAGGTATTTGGACTCACGCTGTCAGGAAGTGATTCTTCTACATCCTTGGGTACCTTTTCTTGAACCTTTCCGGGCACTTTGGATTGGCCTGTGGCGTGCGACTTGTCTGCGCTGGACATTCTTGCGGAAGTAATAGAAATAGATCTGGTTCTGAATGGAAACTGTCTTAACACGGAAAATGTACGTAGTCGAAGCGATTGAAAGTACATTGTCTATCGAAAACCTCTGATGGATATTTTGGAGATGTCTGTCGTACTTATAATTCGTTCCTAAACAGATGCAGACAGGAGAGTTTATTTTCATGATGATGAATCAGTATTAATACTCTAAAGTGCATGATGACCATACCATTACATATGCTACCATTACATATGCTACTATGACGAGTTTCTATGACGGGTTGGAGTCATGTGTCACGAGGTGGAACGAAACAGCATGAAAACAGCTTCGTTGTTCCGCAAGCAACTCTAAACTACCTATGAAGATCTTTCGTCTATACATACTGAACAGTTCCTTTGTTCTAGATGTCTCATCTAGAATCCTGACATCATGGACGTGATGCTACGAACATCCTAGGAGCATATACACCTAGATTTCAGTGGATGTGTTGAGCTTAAACTTTGCTAAGCCGTAATTCCACCCATGCGAGCTCTTTATAGTGGAACATCCGCGAGCCCATAACCTAGATAATACAGGTAGATTTATGCGAGGTATCAACTTTGATCGAATAAATAGTCACTTAACCTCGCGACCAGGGCTTCTTGTACATCAATTATCTTCCGCGCGTCATATAATTTTAAAACTTCTATGAACTCTTTATCACGTCATGTAGACTATTCAACCTTACAGGACTATGAAGTAGGTTTAATATACTTCCCCGTATACCGAAAGTGTACTAGGAAAACATACCGAGAGTGAAATCAAGCACATCAAGTTGTAATTGATGGCCTAATCGGGGATTTAGTCTACAAGCTTGATAAACATGCTAGCACTGTCACGAGGTGGAACTAAACAGTATGGGAACAACGAAGTTGTTCCGCGAGGAACTCTAATCTAGCTACGGGGATCTATGTCTACCTATACATACTGAACATGTCCTTTGTCCTAGATGTCTCATCTAGAATCCTGACAAGCACGAAAGAAATGACCGTCTTAGCTACGACTAACTAATGTACAACCCATTTCATTGAAAATGGTGGAATAATCCGGTTGACATTTTAATACCACTCCTTAAACTAGTTTGACTATATATCAAGATATCATTAAGCTTCATTCCTACAGTACAGTGGTTTCATGTCGTGGGGTAGCATTTCGTCCACCTCTCATGAATTCTATTAGGGGAAATATCAGGGGCTCCTATCATGAGCAATACATTTAAAAGCGTGCATAATTTTTATATGATTAGTATTCTCATACTTTATATCCTCTGAGTTCAATATTGTATCTGTCTCTTCGATTTACCATACTCTCAGGTGCGAGGCTTTATGTTATTGTGAGCTTCAACATATCTGTATCGAGGAAATTTAAAGGAGATTACCCTATCATCATTGAATTCCGTTACATGGTTGTATTTATATAAGATATCTACCAATCTACTCGCGTAAAGGTTATTATGTTATATCCAGCGTTGCGTTCTATTAATTATTTCACCTGTGCATTTGGGCTAAAATAACCCTTCTTTCAAATGACTGATAGTAGTAAGGAGTGATATTACTTTAAATTATAATGATAATCCTACACGAGACCGAAGCAATCAGACATTTCTAATTATAAACTCTCTAAAACTCCCCAAAGCAACCCTCATAGAGGACTTTCTCAGGTGGCGCGGGTAGATACCGAGGATACGACCGTAAAAACGATTTGATTCAGAATCAATAATTACACCACGGGGGCATGGAAAGTAGCTGTCAGGAACTACAGACCCTAAGCTAAAGTCTTAGATGATTTGACGTACACGGCTAATATAGTAACCTGCATGAATGAAGAGACTACCCCCAAGTTGCATTGCAGGCCGTCTGTGCAACACATCTACGGTGTATTGTCGATTAATTATCAACTGTTACCGCTTTTGACTCAATTCATAAGGTAGGCCAGCCCTGCCATGAAGGATTAGGGCATATCCGTGTTTTCTTTTCTTATTGTCTACAGTCGGTTTGTATAATTCATTTTCCACCGCATCAGTTTATCACCAAGACAGCCAAAGAATAAGATAATAAACGAGCACAGAAGTAGAAAACTCACAGACAAAGCATCTAGCGTATCCACACAATAATTATTTTACGTATCTATCTTCATCTTGTCCCGAATCATCGATCCATCGACTTACATCGACCCGAGGCGAGTGTAAGCGAATGTTGACATACTTTTTAATCCTATACGGGGAGCGTTTTGAAATCGTCTAATAAAATGAGGTGGATACACAACGCTCCGAATAATACTGCTACCAATGGACCGACGACTGTGGCCGTCGCAAGCGTTCTATCAGGAGTTTATTTTTGCATACAAATGATGCTTACGCTGCATAGAAGCCTCCACAACTAGAAGTTGTTGGATCCGAAAATGGCGTCCTCTATGCCTAAGCTCTCACATGGCCCGTACATAGAATTGCAGCCGGGACAGCGGTCCATTTGACCCAACCTCGCTAACTCGCCATTTAGCCTTTTCCCCAGAAGACAGTAGATACATGTACCTATGTCTTCCTGCCCGATACATGTAGGTACTGAATGAATATGTAGTGATGGTATTGATGTTGTAGAAGGTCTGAAATCATATGTACTTTATGGTGTGTGCGCGGACCACCACACCGGGACTCTGACAGTGATTGAACTCTAGCACCCTGTGTACCTACCTAGGTACTAGAGGGCCCAAGCAGCCTCCGTCGTCACGGCTTGTAGTTAACCTCAGGCTTATGATGTAATAAGGTTCCAGTTGATGTGATGCGAGAAAGAATGGAGACGTTATAAATACTTACCTGCGCCGCCTGCCCTTCCCTTGTTCTTCACCCCCCTTCCATTTCCAAAAGCCCTGCGGAACACAATTTAACTGTTCTTTTCAACATACCGGTCTATGATGATACCTACGGGGAGCTGAGACCAGAAACCACTCGGGGTACTGATCGCAACTAGGACTCTGCATAGGTGCAAAGCGCCCCAACCAGTCTATGAAAATAAGGCAGGTATTGAGTATAAATCTTTCCCCTCAAACTTCAGAAACACCAGCTTGCATTTCATATTCTGTTTTCATCAGGTGTGCTACGAGTAGATGATCCAGCCCTCCGATGGGCCATGGCTCTGTCAGAGTTCTAGCCTTCGGCTACCCGAGTAGGAGGTTAGGCCTGTTGACTTGGAAGGACGGGAGCTGAGACGTGAAGTAAGACATGAGGCTTTGTTATGGGCTTCCTATATATACCCGGATCTCGTAGCTTGTAGGTTTGAAACTCTTTACGCAACAGCGTTGTTGTTCACTCATCGCTTGGTTCGCCTTGTGACAGCTCCATCTCTAGAAAAGGGCACGATGAGTCAGCAAACATCATCGTGTCGCATGTTCGATTTTGCTTTATATGTCTTAGGGTTTATGTTCGAGGTCGGCTTATCCATGCCTTGGGAATAGGTATGTTGCCCACAGTAAAGCTAGACTGGGCTGGTATACTGAACTTGAATGCGTCTAGATGACTGGATCATCTTCATAACTTGGGTATGGGTCTTCCGAATGTATCTACTTTCGGTGATTCCTAACTAAAGCTATACCTAGCTTCTAACGTGCGGTTTCACCGTGGTCACAGCAATCCGTATGTATCACTACATTTGCAATTTAGTACTATTTGTCGTTAATATGAACTTGGTAGAAACAACATGGGGCTTAGGAATGAAATATGTCGACGATATATCTACCCAAAATGTATATCCTTTCGGACAAGTAAGACAGAAGCTCTTATCATACAGCGGTTATATCTAACACCAAACAGTTGGAACTTGCAGGCTTTTCTTTGTGAGCATCTAACCAAGAAGTCACTGGTATTTTCGACCCCTAATCGATATACTTAGATATATTCTTAGCATCCTCAGGTTTAAGCTAAGCCTGCTGGTATCCTACTTTCGATTTGTCCCTCGGGGGATGTGCAAATATGGCATCACCTGCGTATTAGCTTCTTGCACGCTATTCCACCTATCGTGTCTGATAGTTCAACTCAACCAATGCCACCCGGTATGTTAGCGGGCTCACTCAAGTCTGCGATGTGGCTAACTTTGGTAGATCGCAAAGAAATGGGATCCAACTATCCCAGGGAGATGTATTAACCAGATTCCTTACTACATGGCTTCCTCGGCATTGGCTATCGTTTTCGATTTCGCTGTGTAAGTAGCTCGACTTTTATTCAAGAAATGCGGAGCGGGCTCTGACCAGTTGGAAGCATGTTTCTTCCATTCCCAGTACTCATTAAAACGAAGATTCAACTACGAAAGAAAGTCATGTTACTCGGCCTTTTCGCCCTTGGTTTCTTTATTACCGGGATCCAGATCATCAGAATCCAATTCTTGAAAGACCTCAGAAACCCCCTCAATTCTGGACCTGTCGTACTATGGTCGACAGTCGAAGCAAACCTAGGTGTAATAGTTGCATGTATACCGGTCCTTTCGCCTCTTTTCAAGCAGAACCGTAATAACTATAATAAGGGCACGCCCGAGTCGACATGGGGGAATACTACAACGCCGAGTATTGCAAGGCACTCTTGTAGGGTTGCCAGAAATCACATCTCCGAGGATGACCTATTCGATACAGAGAAAGACAATGATAAACGTCTAACGAGCACCGATAGCCGGGAGCTCATTAATATAGGGAACGGACGCATACTTAGGGAGACAGATATTGTCGTTGTCAACCAACTAGCCCCCGCTCATCTGGCTCCCCTACATGATATGGAGCTAGGAGGACCATTGAAGGTTAATTATGAATGCTGGGCGAGGAGTACTAAAATGACAATTCACGATGGATTTTCAAGTCATAGCCTCGACTGCATTTAGGGTTGCTTATAAGGGTTACCTAACACGACGGTCTAACGCGTATCTTGTTTGATTGAATTGATAGAAGGGGTTGGGGTATGGTAAATAGGGCCAAGATACATAGTAAGAATAATTTGATATTACTATGGTGTAAAGCCTCAAACTAGGGGCTGAATCTTAAACTCATCTCGCCCTAGAACTTTGTAATATAAGCGTCTACGAAACTAAGTTGTGTAAGCATAGCCTCTCTAGTGCTACACACCGTATCGACGCGATGCATAGGACTTAGTATGTAATTACGTATTGAAATGCCTTATACCGCTTCACCGGATGTAACGATATTAAAATATCTGTAAGCATGCGAAAAAGATTGCTACAGAAACACCTAAAGGTGTGAACTGGCTGCTAGCTTATATTTATCAAATTTTCCACACTGACAAATAGTGAGCGTCGAATACATTGCTCGCAGCATCAGAGCCTCTCGGAACAAGACTTCAACGTTGCCTAATTGCCCACCTAGGTCCACCAAGATTTGGTAAAGAATAGAACCGCCTTATCTTTGGTTGTTGCCGGGAAATTTAGTATCATAAAGGAAATAGATAAAAAAGCCTTGCGATGTGGAAGTTCTTAGAAACGATTGTCAGTAAATGTGAATCTACCAAAGGACATTTCTCCGCTTATGATCTAGGGAAGGACGTTATATGTTAAGGCTAGCCAACTTAACCGTACTTACATGACGCTCGATAGAATTGATATCTAATGCTAGTAAGAAAGGTAGCACCATATGGGAAGTAAAGGAAGATTTAGAACTTTTAATACTTAGCTAGGTAAGTCTGAAATCTGTGGTTAACCCTTACCTACCTAGGTATCTAGATATAGTCGGACCACGAGCTCATATCTATAAAGCATAACGCACAAGGAATCAAGGATTGCCGGAAAGATGCTGTGTATGATCAATAAGATTAGCTCACAAATGGCATCGTTTGTGCAAAAGATGTTCGATGGGGCTTTTGTTGCCAGACAAGCTGTCACCCCTAGTCTCTTGGAATCATCTAAGGGGTTCGAATTCCCTATTACAAGACAAGGACAAATAGAACACGAGATATCACCAACAACCCGGATCGAACTAAATATTTGCTCTTGTTTAAAGGATTAAATAACATTGAGACGGATTGGTATCTATGAATCTATGTAGTCTAAAATAATAAAGGAGAGAAAGGGCCAAGACACACCAGCCCATCAGAATGACCTACACGGAGCCTTTCGTATCCCTTTCAAGTTCCTTTCGAAGTACCTCACATGAATCAGAGTCAGTAACCTTGACAGAACCAAGAGCGTTGAAGGTCGGTTATGGAAATTCATTGGTAGGTCGTAGCACTCGGTATACCCGTAGGACCCTGTCTTGCAAATTACCTCCCAAGATAGGGAACTTAGATATCATGGTAGTTATATAATCCTCCCACGCCGTCTCCATTCCCTGTCCTAGATCCAAATGCCCTAAGAATACCTAAAGGTACCTCTTAATATAAGTCTATCTCTGGTATGAGGAATACAAGTGCCTGTATCTTAGCACTTACCCCGTCTGAGACTACTCGCATGCACCTTCTTGTATATGAATGTTACCTAGGCAGTAATAGCACCTGCTTTATCTGACAATACCTCCTCCATACACTGCCTGGGCTGTCAATGCAGTGCAGCTTCTCTCCTTAGGGCTTGAAATCAGCTGCTCACGCAACTCCACGCAACTCCAAGCAGCTCCACGTAAGTCCCCATAAGGCATCTTCAGTTTTAACCTGGAAGGCCCTACTCTCTCTCCCTTGTACACTTTCCAGATATTAGGTGCCTTCCATTCTATCCACCTCCATCTACCTACTTAAGTTTCATCCCATCTCTCAACTTCATCCCTTTCTTTCTTTCTTTCTTTTCAACATCAACAACTTCGGCATCCTCACCACAGGAGATCATCAGTCTCTGACAACGAGACAGCGCGAATCAACTAAGTCAATCCTATTTAATTCGCCTCGCTTGGGCCCTGCTACTACACCTACTTGCCTGAGGCACGTAAAGGTAAGCCACGATGTTTCGTTTGGGTGGCGCGTCTACCTTGTTTCCTCCGACTTGAAATGTTTGCACCAAGACGCATCGCACTGTACCACTACCCTTCTACCCTTCTACCCTTCTACCCTTCTACTTCCCTGAAAACAATCTTCATCCTTCCAAACTTCCTTCACTCTGGTTCAGCTACATTGCCTTCCACTCCTTTATCCTCTTCTCTACCAACCTTTCCTCTGCCCTGTCATTATCCAACAGGAAGCGCCTACGCTTACTACTACGCGAGCCATACTCTGGTCGAAGCTGGTAAAGCTAGAGAAATCCTCGCCCCCCTTCAGTTTACATCACTCTAATATCCCCTCCTCCTCCATCTTACAGTCGTGCCACCACATTCTACTGTTCAACCATTTCTCATTGGTGTCCAGGAACGTAGGTGAACGTACGTGTTGCATATTCATGTTTTGTCCTTTATCTAACTTCATATTTCGCTTATTCCGTACCCCATGCTACCTAAATATAGCTGTTCGACCAAGCTTTTGTTTTTGTCAGCAGTTATACCTACTTATAGCTAACCACGTTTTCATTCTTTTATTTTATGAAGTCACGCTAATAAATCCCCTAGGACTTCCTCAAGCAGCCACAATGTCTGACTGGGACAACGCGGCTGTCGGCCACTCTGGCCCCCAGGATGGCGGAGGCGGTCGAGCCTGCTTCAACTGCGGCCAGGAGGGGTAAGTTGAATTACTGTACTGAATATGCGTAGCTAACATCAGATCTAGCCACAACAAGGCCGAATGCCCCAATCCTCGTGTCTTGAAGTGCCGACATTGCAATGAGGACGGCCATGCAATCCGTGACTGTCCCACTGCTCCTCCCCAGGAATTCACTGGGGAATGCCGATTCTGCAAGAAGGAGGGCCACATGGCTAAGGATTGTCCGGACAAACCCCCCATGCTGTGCAAGAACTGCCAAGAGGAAGGTAAGACAAAACTAAATAGTAACCCTAAATACAGAAGACTAAGCGCATTGATTATACTAGGACATGTGGCTGCTCTATGCAAGAATCCACGCAAGATTGACCGCTCGTCTGTTGGCGAGATCCCCGCTGAAGAGGCTTGGGCAAAGATTATCGAAGGAGCCAAGGAGAAGGACATGGACAAGGTCAAGGAAGGCATCCAGGAGTATCTCAACTCTACTCCAGGTATCACCTACGTCAACCTCGAGCAGGCGTTCCGCTCTCAGTTCATTGAATTGCACCTGATCGCGTTGGAGAACCCTTCACTGCTCGCGACTCACACTCACATGGACCTTCAAGGAAACCTTGACAAGAAGTACCGTGTTCACTATCGCTGGAGCGACAAGCCCCTCCGTCCCCGAGAGGTCCAGCAGTGGCCTCAGTCGGCTGCGGACAACCTCGAGCGTCTTAAGGATGCTGGCGAAACCGTTGAACGCGGCGTGCCCAAGTGCAGTAACTGCAGCGAGCTTGGTCACATTTCGAAGAGATGCCCCCAGGAGAAGATTGAGAAGGAACGCACTGTCATCAAGTGCTTCAACTGCGACCAGCCAGGTCATCGCATCCGCGACTGTGAGTCTGGCTAAGTGTATTCTTGGGTTTGTCGCTTTCTAACATGGATAAGGCCCGGAACCTCGCAAGAACAAGTATGGCTGTAGAAACTGCGGGTATGTATATACCTATCCATATCTTATTACTCTTCCACCACTAACCATACCTGTTACTATAGCCAAGGAGGTCACATGGCATCGGACTGTAAGTAATTACGTTGCTAACCTCATACTTTCCATTGACAATTTCATAGGCCCCGAGCCTCGCCGAGCTGGAGATGACGTGGAGTGTCGCAAGTGTGGCGGAAGTAAGTCGTAAATCATGATTACTTAGATACTTACGAGTGTTACTAACTAGATGCTTTAGCCGGCCACTTTGCCAAAGATTGTCCTCAGGAAGGTGGAGGTCGTAGCCGCGCGTGCTTTAACTGTGGCGAGGAAGGCCACAGCTCTCGAGACTGTCCGAACCCCAAGAAAATCCAGTGCCGCAACTGTGATGAGTTCGGACACATGTCCAAGGAATGCCCCAAGCCCCGCGATTGTAAGTGAAGTCGGATATTCTGCTTACTAGGCATACTCTATGGAACTACATGCTAACATCTCAAAAGACAGCCGGGTCAAATGCACCAAGTGCGGTGAGATGGGCCACACTCAAGTTCGATGCAAGATGGAGTCTGCTCCTATTGATGAGCCCACCTTCGACGCGGCTGGCGGTAGCCGTGGTAGCGTTGCTCACCATGGCGGAGATAGCTTCACGCCGGCCCTAGCTGCACCTGAGAGTGGTGCTGATGACAACTGGGGCTCTAATGGTGATGTTGACTGGTAAATGCTACGCGATGATCTAAACTCATTGAGTTTCGGGATCTTGGCTTCTTCAACTCTTTAGTTTACTTTTTAATATTTTGCGAATGTTTGTAGACGATGAGTCTGGAGAGGTCGGTTTCGCATGATAGCCAATTGGCAGTCGTGTTATTGCGAATGAGTTTTACACAGGAATGAATCGCGAGGTCACTACTAAGTTAGTACCATAATAGGTGGTGGTATTTGAGCTGTCTTGCAATCTCCTGAGCCCTCTTGCACATGGATAGGACAATTTGCCTTATATTCAGAGCTCAGGTAATCAATACATTATAAAATTCGGTGTGAAGTTCAAACGGGAACCCCCTATTTTAAATCTAAGGTACCTAAGTACTTTGTAACGCGTGGCGTTTCAGCCACAGAAAAGCACCCTATCAGAAGCCTGGAAGCTTGGTCGCAGCTATTAGGTAGAAGGTAAACAGCCCCTCCATAAACAATGCGTCGTCAGAAGCCACTGACAGCTCCTAACGTAAAGCTCGTCAAATCGAATCTGCTCTCTTTGCAAGTATTCTCATGACGAACATTATTTAGACAAACGAATAATTCTACTAGAATATTAGAAATATTCCGAAAATCGTATTATCAAGCACCGGAATGTCGATAACGATCGAGAAGATACTCGCTGCTTCTCCCGTGACAGCTCGAGGGCAGCCGACGCAGCTGTCGACCGATGCCAAGGGGGAAAGGATAGCTTATGCTGTAGGTACCCTGAGGCCCATTTAGGATTCACACGATGGGAGCTATATCTAACGTTATATCAGTCCGGGAAATCAATATTTGTTCGATCTATCGACGACCCTTCTACTAGTAAACAATACACTGGTCACACGGCCCAAACGACTGTTGCCAAGTTTTCGCCGAGTGGATTCTACATTGCCAGCGGTGATGTATCGGGCTCGGTTCGGGTATGGGACTCGATAGAGGCTGTGAATACCAAAGGTACCAGCTACTAGATTGAAAGTGTGCTGGTGGTATTCATGTTCAACTAACATAACGTTCCAACTTAGGCGAATATCACATCATCTCGGGTCGCATCAATGATATAGCGTGGGATGGCGATTCGCAGCGCATCATTGCGGTCGGCGACGGGCGTGAGCGGTTCGGACACTGCATCACTGCGGACAGTGGTAACAGCGTAGGCGAGGTATCTGGACATTCTAAAGTCATCAACTCGGTTGCCGTGAGGCAGATGAGGCCCCTTAGAGCTGCAACCGCGAGTGATGACATGGCTATGTGTTTCTTGCACGGTGCTCCGTTCAAATTTGACTCGAAGTCAACCGGCCTTCATAAGGGATTCGCATTGGGCACGGCCTTCTCGCCGGACGGGAACACCCTTGTTACGGTGGGTGCAGATAAGCGAATTCAACTGTACGATGGGAAAACTGGGGAACCCACAAAGTCCATTGGCGAGAACGAACACACGGGAAGCATCTTTGCAGTTAGTTGGTCAAAAGATTCGAAGAGTCTTGTCACAGCCAGCGCCGATCAGACCGTTAAATTATGGGATGTGGAGGCGGGTAAAGTCACACAAACGTGGAAATTCGGAGGAGACGGTGTCAGTATCCCAGACCAACAGGTCGGTGTGGTATGGCCACATGGTCGCAGCGATGGCTTGATTATCAGCCTCAGCCTTGGCGGAGATCTAAACTATCTGGTAGAAGGCAACCCGAAACCGATCAAAGTTATTCAGGGACATAACAAGAGCATCACAGCCCTGGGAGTTGGCTCGGATGGCAAAGGCCAAACACTATGGACTGGAAGCTTCGATGGTCGGGTCTGCAGCTGGGATCTCGGCTCTGGAGCTGCCACGGTTGTCGACGGGCAGACTCACACAAACCAAGTAACAGAATTCACATCTAGTACTGGGCGAGCATACAGCGTCGGATGGGACGATACTCTGCGCATAGTCGACGAGTCCGCCAACACTTTTGCTGGTGAGTCGCTAAAACTGTTCGCACAGCCCAAGGGAGTTGCTTCTGCGGATGGACGAGTGTACGTGGCAACCATCGCCGGCGTCGAGATCTATGTCAAGGATCAACTTGCAGGCAAGCTAGAAATCGCCGAAGCGCAGCCAACAGCCATCGCCGCCCAGGGATCACTAGTAGCAGTAGGCCTGAGCAATAACGCGGTGCGCCTATACAAGGCGGATTCGAGTAACAAGCTTACGCAAGCACATGAGGTAAAAAACTCAACGGCACAAATTTCGACTCTAGCCTTTTCGAAGGACGGCTCGCTGCTTGCCGCGGGCAACACGGCAGGTAAGATATACGCGTATCGTACGTCTGGCTTGGAGTTGGCGACGGATCGGTGGTCGGCGCATACGGGCCGCGTAACAAGCATCGCATGGAACGAGGCGGGCACGCACGCGGCCAGCGGCGCGTTAGACACTAATGTGTTCGTATGGAGCCTCGCGAAGCCCGGTTCACGCGTCAAAGCGCTAAACGCGCACAAGGACGGCGTTAATGGCGTCGCTTGGGTGCATGGCGGGACGAAGGTCGCGAGTACGGGTGGAGATGCGGCGATTAAGATTTGGAATGTTGAGGGGTTGCAATGAGAGATGGGATGACTTTATGAAGTATTGATCATGATCACGATAGCCTATAGGAGCAAGTAGATATTTGAACGAGGCTTAGAATTGTTTATCTAGATGATAATCTCTCCGAAGTGTTCTTGCTGAACGATTGAGCATGGGTTATGTGGAATAACCCTTGAACTGTATACGCGTTGAGAAGAATTGCCTTAAGAATATAACACTGTATAGAATTATTCCTAGAGATCCTCTATATTCTACTGTGATAAGCTTATTCCGGACTACTAAAAGGTAAACGAGGATGGATATGGATTCATACTACGCGCTACAAGTAAGCAATAGACGCACTGTTATTGTTAAATATTAGCACAGTATAGTGTTAGATACCTTATAGGATAGTCATTCGAACAAGAGTCTATTCGTAAATGCAATTCGAGTTACCTAGCGGAAACTAAAACAGTCGCAATTGGGGTATCTCCCTTTCCTAGTAAACGCCGAAACTAAACAACCGTAACCGCTCGTTGGTGGTCAAATGCAGAATCAGCGCTCCGGCATCAATGCGCTAATAATATCCCAGAGACCGCCAGGCCACTCCGACTCCGGGTCGGGGTCCGGGGGCCACTGCTTCTTGGGAGCCGTGAGGATGTCTTCGTTGATGATATCAACGAGCGAACTGTTTAGCCCGTTAGTACGTATGTACGAGTTAGATAGATAGATGCGAGAAAGGGGTTCTATGTTAATAAGAAAAAAATTGAAGAAAAATAAACATACCCGATCTTGCCCTGGATTAGGTGCCCCTGACTATCCATCTCCTCGGCAATCTCCGATTGATGGTTGTCCATGAGCGTGGGGTTAGGCACTGCGATCAGCGCTGAGTCGAAATCGAGTGCTTCCAGAATACTTCCGGAGCCTACGGTAGAATTATCAGTAGACGAACTATTTAATTTGGTAATACGGCTATCACAACATACCCGCATGAGTAATAATCAGTCCGCGGTCTCGCTTAAACGTTGAAGTGACGTAGCCAGCAGTAGTGAGCTCCATGTATCTCCGGATGTCGTCATGGTAAGTAAAGCCCGTGATGAGCAGCTCGTTAGGGTCGTCGGGGCATGGCTCAGGCTCGGCAGACAGGAAGTAATCATAGTCAGGCCCGCACTGGATGATGAGATGGGTGAAGTCGAGGGACTTGAGCTTGGCGAGGAAGGCTTCCGAGAGCACTTCCTCGATGAGCAGTTTGAAACTGGCGCTGGCGCCGATGGTGACGAAGGCGTATTTGGATTTGCTTCGGGGCGCGGCCTGGGACGCCATGATGATGAAGTGTTTAATTTGGCTGGAGGGGTAGGGGGGATAGTTCCTACGGTGCTGGCTTGGTTGTGTAGGAGTTAGTTAATACTCGGTATCTCCTACCTTCACGGCGTTGGCAGAGAACACGAAGAAGATCTAATTGGGTGTTAGGGGTTGGAAATGTTATATTAGGTAATCGAGATTAGACAATTAGGTACCTTAGGCTAGATATCTCGAAAGTTGCAGGGAAGGGCAGATGATTGGCTACAGGTAGAGTTCTTTACCAAATTAAGCGCTTTTAACCGCTAGCTAGCAAGGTTTAGTCAGACATGCTTAGGTAACTTTGTGGCGCACATGTAGCAGTGTGGCAACGACAACTGTGGCTAGGTGCTCAGGAGTGACCCCTATTCTCTACGTGATACATCTCGACCCTATCTAATAACCGTCCCTTTTATTAGGAATAGATACTAGATATCACTGATAGCCTTTATTTACATATTATCAAAGCTTAATTTCCAAATTATGATAGCTTTACGACACGGTAGATATTATTTTATGGAGTGCTAGAGTGTATCATTTTATCACGGCGTACCTATTAAGTAAATTGGGAGAAATCATAAGGGTGTTTAAGTAAGCTCTACGATTTATTTCATGGCGTGACTAATAGGTCTACTATTCTATTGCACGTTCTCGTAGACCTGCAACTATGCGGACGCATTAGGCCAGAGCAACAGATTTAGCAAGTTGTTCCCCCAACATCCACCTCGTACCGGTTTCTTAATTGGGGTTATGCGGCTGCTCACTTGAAGCTTATTACTTTCTGCGGCGAGTTTGAATCACGCCACAGAGCCCCTCAAGCCGCTTAAGGAAGCCTTCATTCTGCTCTTTAAGAGCCTCGATATCTTCGACCGCGTTCTTGTTCTTCTCAACAAGATTATTGTTCTTCTGAAAAAGAGCTTTGTTCTCCTTCTTAAGACCCTTGATCTCCCTGGCAAGACAATAGTTATCCTCAGTGAGGCACTCGATGTCCCCTTCCAGCTTAAGGATCTTATTCTCCAGCCTGGTGATGGTCTGCTTGGCGGCTCTGGTTTTGAACTCTAGACTTTCCGCGAGGCCCTTATTGACTTCCACTAGCTTGTCGTACTTATCATTCGCATTCTCGACAGCTTTGGCACTTGGAGCGAGCTGCTCGTCGACTCCGCTGGAGCGGTGGCGGAGTCTCGTACGGAGTCCCGCAGCTTCCATCTCAACGTCCTTCTTAGCCTTGTTGGCGATTAGCAACTGACTACGCACCTAGTTTCGCTCTCTACTGAGCTTGCGAATGGTCTCCTGGAGAGGGGTTTCGATGTTGCTAGTAGACGTCTTGCGCAAAATGCCGGGGGTGCTTAATTGTATTAGTAAAGGTTTTAGATAGTGGAAATAAAAACATAGTGATCGTGAGTTACGTTGCAATTAAGCTGAACATAAAGGTATTGTGCGCAGGGGACAAGAATAGAGTGAGGCGATAGGGGGTTAGATATAGAGTCCCGTAAGAAGAAAGAAGAAGGTATTGTAAATATAAACACAAAACCTTTGTAGTTAGGTAGGTATGCTTCTTGAAAATAGGTACCGTGGGACTATAAATTTTTTCTGTTGTGTTGGGGATTGTGAAATGCCAGGAAGGAGAGAGAAGGGGGGGAATAATTAATACAGAATTTGTAGAGGGGGGGAGGAGAAGAAGATAGGTAACTTGAATAGTAGCCTGGGGTTGGGGGGATCGCATGCTAGCCAATATGAAATAATGGTGGGCCGACAAAAAGCATATAGATAGTTCTAACTGCAAAATCACTCACTGCCCGAAATGGTGCTGTGATTGATGTGTGGTCAAGTGGGTTGAGGGACGTGATTCATATTCACGTGGGCCAAGATGAAGAACTCGAGCTTTAGGGTTCGAACCCGAGTTCTCCCCAAGCATTTATCAATCTGCCGCTTCGGACCGACTTATGCTAGGACGCCAGTCTATACGGTATCGTTGAGGCCTACTACGGAGGGTTCGGTTGCAGTTGGCGCGATTTATCTCCGAAGACATTGTCGTAGAATCTGATCACTAGGTATGAGAGCCACGGCAGTAGCAGTCAGCATAAGACCACACGCGGACTTGCTTGGGATATTCTTTCCCCCCCCTATTTCCTCTTCTTCTTTTTAAGTTTAAATCTATTAATTATTTATTTCTCGTTCTATATCCTAATTTTCCCATGCTTTTCTACGCTTTCTATTTACAACTAATGACTTCGATCTATTTAAAGACTCGCCTGTAATAAGTAAAATAGGTTGTGTCTTAAAGGCTTACATGCTACGGGAAGACTTATAAATGTTGTCGTTAGAGGTTAGAATATTACGAGACTTTTAATCTTGATAAACCCCCCTTGGCTTATTCTACGTATCAAGAAACGCTGTTCTAATCTTCTTGGGAAATGGCTATACGGGGCTTTCCTCTTTTACTAAGTCTAGAGCGGTGTACTCTTAGCTATCAGATATAAATGAAATAATAGAGCTATTATATTTATTCTCATACATCTTCTATGAAAACTAATCTCTTATATGACAAATCCAAGAGTAGAGGCAATAGACAGTTTACCCAATGCTTCACATATATTGCGCAATCATAGACAAAGCAAGCCTTTTAAGCCAGCGGTAAATGGCGGGGAGGTTTCTTGTACGGAGTAGATAAACACCAAAAGCTCCGCATATTGCCGTCTTTTATACTTAACGTAGCTAAGTAGTACTGTGTATAAATCTTTGAACCTGAGTACCATCAAGCGTATGAAGTTGAAGTCAAAATCACGTGCCTTACCCGGAACTCCAGAACGTGCGAAAGATTTCTTTTATTTTTAACCCTGTAAAGACTGTGATCTACCTTTTCTTAGTTGGGATCGTCAGGGGTAAAGCATCAGGTTTTTTTCTAAGTGACCACGTGGATCCCACATCCTCAACCGTAAATAGCGGTCAATATAGAATGACTTATAAAGCGATAAAGAAGAGCAATAACTCATTAAATCTATACAATTTTGTCTTGCGTATTACACAGCAGCCAGATTGTGGTGCAACGGCTAATATAAGCCCTTTTGTTCATTTACCTGCCTTCTCATTGGTTGTTTGTCAAGAGTGCCATTACGCTTGTGTTGCCGACGAAGTAGGTAGACACTTGAAACGCCAAATCCATAGCGGAATATCGAAAAGTCGAGCTCGGGAAATTAAAGACGGTATAAAGGAATTGCATGATGTTCATAAAACTCACAACGATGATATGCATAACCTCCGATTTCCTCCTCCCGAAACCGAGCCTATCCCGTATATACTACCACCCGAATCTAACGGATATGCATGTAATGTATGTCCTTATGTCGTGCGTAGCAAGCAGGGTATAAAAAGGCATTACAAGAGAGTTCATGGGTGGAAAAACGACCAGAGGCTTGGGCGACCAGGCAAAAATGATCCACGAGCATTAAGGCCATGGAGAGAGGGTGTTCGATGCCAACGGTTTTTCTTGAATCGACAAGGTTGTCAGTGGTTTGAGGTGCAAAGACCTGTAAGTCCTATGTATCCTTTGTGTACGTTACAGCTGGGTGATATTCTTACTGTATCATATATTTAGACACGTTCCTTAACTTGCAAACCTATCCCGATTACGTCTTTATTAAACGATTCCCATACTTGAGATTAAACACTGCATCAAAATTAAATAACTATCAAAATTTACTAGAAACTGAAGGGTTATGGATTCACATAAGCGTGGTGGTATTCATTGCCTAGGGTAAAGGTGTTATATAATTGATTGCTTTACTATTATATTAGTAGAGGCTCTTCATCTCTTTTCTTGTAAACTACCATATCACTTTTCCAATCGAAGTAGTACCTACACTATATTTGAGACAGGACTGACTAAAACTCTAGTCCTTTGTTCTGGATGTCTCATCTAGAAATAAGGGGTATACCGATCACGTGGACATTCATTAGGTAAGCTCTGAGGTACGAAGTACATGAATGTGCCAAGGTACGTACCTGGTACTATGCACATGGAGTTGAAGACTTCCAATGGGAGCCAATCAAAAAAAGCGTTTAGGTTAATTCGAGATCCACCGAATTTTTATCTTTTGCGCATGCAATCGACTACAATTAACTTCAGCTTAGGAAGAAGCCCTTTCCTTAACTCGACCCTCGCAGTTCGAGCGGATGCTGGGACGTAGCCATTGATCGCCATGGCCTCTGGAGTACAGTCGGTGCGATTGTGCCTACGGGCTTTCCGACACCCTCCAGCTCCTCGAAAAGTTGCCCCACGAATACCACGAATATACGTTCCGAGGCGAGCCTTATCCTCAACACCTATACAATGGAGTCGCGCGTCTAGGAAGGAAGAGGACGAGGAAGATGTAGACGATCTGGAAGATGACGGCAGCGTAGACGTCGCTGAAATGGAAAGATCTCTCCGCGCTGCGTTAAGAGACCCCGAGTTTGAAGCGTCGACGCGGATCCAGGAACAAATGTTAAATAACGCCAATTCTATCATGTCGAACGCGCAAAGAGTACCTAAACTCAAAAGGCCTTTCTGGCATGACGAGGAGGAAGATACCGACTTGATTACGGACGAGCGAAATGAGGACGAATTCGACGAGGATGATATTATGAGCATGGCACACGGCAAGTTGGAGGAGTACCGTGAGCATAGAGAATATGCTCGCATTGCTGCTTGGGAGATGCCTCTTCTATCTAGTGAGTGCTCTCATATTGCGTCTCGACTAAGAAGCCATCTATTAACTCGTAAAATCAGAGCTGGCACGGCCCTTCGAACCACCCACAGCTCAGGAACCCTTGCGATTCCGATACACGAGTTATATGGGTGAATTCCACCCCGCAGAGAATAAAGTGGTTCTTGAATTCTCGCCCAAAGATATGCCACTGGACGAGGCCCAGCAGCTAAAGCTGAAGAAGTTGCTAGGCCCCCGCTACAATCCAGAAACGGATGTAGCTAAGATGAGCTGTGAGCAATTCGAACACCAGGCGCAGAATAAGCGATATCTTGGTGACCTAGTTGAGAGTTTAATCGCGCGAGCAAAGGTATATAATTTATTCTTTTCAATCCCAACCAATACCAAACATTGCTTACCATACCCTTAAGGACCCCTCCGACATGTTTGAGGACGTTCCTCTCGATACGAGACATCACCCAATTAAGATCAAGCCCAAATTTCCAAGGGAATGGAGGATGACTGAAGAGCGGATGAAGTTTCTCGAAGACACGAGGCAGAAGTCGCTACTACTCGATCAGACGAAAGAGGAAGCCGGCACCTTGATTGATGGCAAGGAGAAGATCACACGATTCTTCAATGTTCCTGAACCTGAAGTTAGAGTCCCTGAGTATGCCAAGGCGCAGCTAAATGAACTCTCGTCACGGGACAGAATAGCGCCGACTAGGCGGGTTTGATATGTGTAATATCATGTAGATAAATGCTAGCTCTAGGGAGCTCGCTGTATGAATATAAAAATACAAACACTACAAACTAGGATGATGCTGAGGGAAGTTATCTGATTCTAAGACGACGAGTCTCACCAGTTAGTTGCCTATTATGTTGGGGATCTACTTCACTAGGAAAAAAAAAAAAACAATAATCGTGGAAGAGGCAAGTCATTCGATACGAGGAGTCAGCCTACGTACTAAGATACAGTTCGTTACAATTGGAACTTATCATGTTAACGACCCCCTCATAAGCGTCAGGGAGTTGATCAAGAGCTTCCATTATCAGTTACAAGTCTGATGCAAGTTTAACAACTTCCGACGACTTAAAACGAGGAATACGCGTATATTCACAACTACTAAATTTATTGGCGAGTGACTTCGTGGCTACTTGCTTCCTGACTAGAAGAAGTCTAAGTGATGAAGGATCGCTATTGAGAATAATACCAATGGCGAAAATGTCTCGTCTTTTCTTCACATCAACAATTATTATCTCGGCGTCGCGGCTGTGGTTATATATTGTCTAGTGTACATCCCCAGCCTCGGAGCCCCTTTTCTACGAGATTCGGGAGACGCGGCTTCCGGAATCCTCGGCTTCCGGGAACCGAACAAGACAAGCGACTCGGTAAGGATATTTGGGTAGTAGTGGTTAGCTGCAGGTGCGGTTGGTAATCTTACGGGAGGCGGTGCGTTCACCGAGCATGTGTTACGGCGTGTAGCGTAGCTCGTCTACATGATACTGTTCAAGGACAAGAGCAATCAGGAGATGGGAGTACGGGGTTCCGCCATCTCGGGACTCGCAAGGCGAGCTGCATAACAGGCGGCCTGGTGAGGGAGCGAGCTATTATCCAAACTACTTCTCAAGTGTGGATGAACATGGAGTGATTCTATGTTTTTTCAGAAATGGCATGGGGTATCATGTTAGACGAGATCGAGACAATCTTGTTACTTCAGAGTTTATCTACTCAAAGGCAAGCGTACTCTTTCGTGCGAAGGATGCCGACCTCGTTATAAGCTGGAATACTTCGGCTAGGCTAACTTCTGATAGTCCTTGAGGGCATTTCTCAACTCCGTGTAAAGGGGGGTCGACCTTATTCTTATCCAAATAATACATATAGTGAAATCCATCAAGTGCGGCCGGGATCACACAATCACTATTATAAGGCCATAGGACAGATGATATTTATTGATAGCCTCCTCATTAAGAATCATGCGGATATGTAGATCTGATGAGTTCATACCACATCCCACATTCATTGGATCCATGGACCAATCATATTATACCCTTTCCATTCCAATCTAGAAAGTTTCTAGGGGTCTATGTCGAGTATCTCGAATATCACTTTGACTAATACCATTATGGATCACTCGTCCAAACTTGTAAGTTCGGAAAATCGAGAGGTTGGTAGGTTAGGCCGTCTAAGCCAATTACTGACAAATATGTACGAGTAAAGTTTCGGCGCTACCGATTGTGTAAACCAATAGCTGATCTTTTGGTAGCACATGTAGCGACTGCCTTATTACTTGCATTACTTGCATTACTTGCATACAAATGCGCTATCGATGTCCATTTGCTTTAGAGTTACCTACTCGTGCCACGCCCCACTTAATTCTGGTTTTGCAAGCATGACCAGTCTTAACTGGTGCTTACCACTATTATCCACACACCACAATTATCCCCAGATTTTTTACATTTTATTATAACTTTTCAACCGTTTATATATAAATAAAATAAAAAATATATTTATTTAAATTAAATTTTATATAATTTTATTACGTTTTTAAAATTTTAATAGTTATTTTATTTATTTTATTAAAAATAATATAAACGTATTATTAAAATATATTAAATTTAAAAAAAGTTTATAATAATTTAATTACGTAATATTTTATAATTTAAATTAATAAAACTTTTATATAAAAAGTTACTTTAAAATAAAAAATTACTTTTACATTTTTAACTAGTTTTATTTATATTTATATTTATATATTTATATATAAAAAATTATATTAAAAATTAAAATATAATATATAATATAATATAAATATTATAATTATAATTTTTTAAATTTTATATCATATTAATTAAAATTCGATATATTTAAAAACCTTTTTTCGAATTATATAACGTTAAAAATAAAGGTTAAATGAATTTTTATAATGATAATGGGGATAATAGTGATGTGTGGATAATGGTGGTAAGCACCAGTTAAGACTGGTACTCGCTTGCGAAACCAAAATTAAGTGGGGCGTGGCACGAGTAGGTACCAAATTACATCATATTGAGGCTCACGGCTATTGCGGGTTCAGCAGCTCCATGGTGGCGGTGTCGAAGTCGTGGGGCTGTTGACGATTTTTTTTGCCTTTGTGCGATCATGCGCCACAACTTTTATATGGAGGTTTGGTCTAGACCACGAGTCGACGAACTTGGCGTGGATGTTGGTAAGTAAATTCGTATGAAATCTCTTCAAGTCTTGTTTCCTAATCCGAAATTCTAAAAGCAATAATTCTCGTATGAGATGCGGTTATTCTTACATGTTAGAGGTATTTCTCTTAGAATAGATGATGTAGGCGCTATTCTGGAAGGGTGGCCGAAATGACAAGATCGAGTGCGTCAAGCCACAATCAATCATAGGTACCTGTGCAGACACCGCCGACTCGAGCCACATATCATGACGTCATCCTATCCAAGGCTATCCTCTTGCTCGTGAGGGCGGTTAGGTCACGAGCAATAGGTGTGGGTAGAATCTCAAACTAGAACGTGTATTCTGCTTATCATAATGCATACATGTACCTAGTGTACATATTGGAACGTGTCAGATATTTTTAAATTGAGAAGTGACCTATTACGGACTGCTAGATTTTAGATTTTAGAAAATTAGGTACTTAAAATAGTTTTGGGCACATCGTGTAAACAGGTACATATTCAAAAAGGCTACCTGTAGGTACGTCTTACATGTAGATTAGATACTTTATAATGTATGCTCATAACTGCCGTATTGTATGTACCTAAGGCTATGTAAAAGTGGAAATTGTAGAATTGTCGCAATTGCCCACAATTCGTAGGTACCTAGGGGGTAAGTATCAGCGCGTAGGTACCTTCCCGTTACACTGGATTGTGTTTGTTCGGGTCCAGAATGTATGACGCACCAGTTGAAAGCAAATTCGGTTCTTGTTTCGTTGGATATGCATCATAGTTCCGGGGCTGCGTCCAAGGAATTCAAGGAACGGCACCTCTTTCCCGTGTACAAAGGCAAACCAAGCCCAAAACAACCCTTACACATTTCTGCATTGGATCAATACCCTGCCGTGGTAACTCGATTCCAATCCCAATCCATTACGAGAGACCTTGTGGATATTACTTATTTAAACTGTATTCCCCTCGCCATCTCGATAACCCATTCCAGTTTCTACTTCTAAATCCAGTCCAAGTCTAAGAAAACCAAGTCCAAATCGAAAAGTTACGAAGCACAAGCTTTCGATATTCCACATCACATACCACGAAACATCTCATCTACACACGCGTCCAAGTCGACCGAAATCTCACATAATGCCTTTCACCGCAAGGTAAGAAGCAATTCCCAACCGGCGTCTTGCTACCGGTATTATAAATTACACCTGCTGACCTGGTTTGATTCTCATTAGCGATATCTGCAAGATTATTCTTGCCATCCTCCTACCGCCTCTAGGTGTCTTCTTAGAGCGAGGATGTGGAGCCGACTTCTGCATCAACGTTCTGCTCACCATTCTGGGTTACATCCCGGGTATCATACACGCGCTGTAAGTTCCCGACACACCTTCTTTTCGGGTAGACGATAGATTGGACGGTAAACTGACACATTCTCCCTGCAGGTACATTATTCTGAAATATTAAGACTGCTCAAGTGGCCTGCGGCTTTCCTTAATTTTTCGTAATGCAGCGACAGCATAGCACGATTCAACCATAGACGACATTTGACAGGATGGACCAATGGCGTGGCAGCGCAGGGGTTCGTGATTTCCCGGAGGCGTCTGCGTGGATCCAACCATTGCTCTCTGTCTTTTCAAGCTAGTGGCGGGGGTGCATCGCATGACACCGGATTTTGGCTCTGACAAACGTCACTCGACTTCTTGTCCATGCAATCACGTTCCAGCATTTCAGCCCGCCTCATAATTTCGACGACTCGAATATCTCTGTTTCTTTTACTCTTAATCAAAATCGCGATGGTTTGCAGGAAGGACGGTTTGGGGGGGAAGGGCCGAGGATACGGCTCAGTTGAGCATTAATTGCTTGCTACCTATATGTATTCATGACGATTTTTAGACTTCCTACCAGCATTAATGATTATGAATCTCGATACCCCCTAACAACCTGACCATTTTATTTGGGCCAAAGTATTTCAACCATGATGCATGTGCTTCATATTGTAGGCATTTATTAATGAACGACGTAGGATAAGAGTTATTATCATCTCCGGCTACAGTGACATAGTTCTAAGCAGATGTATTGTTTCCGTAAGGTCGAGATACGGGACGATAATATAAGGAGTCTAGGTCTACGGAATACTCTATGCTTAGGAGAATATCAACAATAACTAAAGAGTTGCTGAGCCTGATCTGAATATAACCTTTTTGAGCGGCAACTTAGCAAAGTTGTAAATGACGGCAGCATCATGTAATAATATAACGCATAAATAACTTCACTCAACTGGGGTCAAGGTTTGAGTCTTTAGACTTCTGTATAAGCACTATATCAGAAGAAATAGATTATTCAATCAAGTGACTTTATTTATTACCCTCGACCTATCTTAAACGATAAAACCTAAAAGCTATTGTAAGCACGATTCTATTGTATAATTGGACAGATACTTACGTCGTTTTTGCCTGCGGTCACGACAGCGTCTTCCGAGACTCGTACGCCTCCCACTCCTTCTACGTAGGCAATCGGCGCATCGCCCATAACTTTCCTCGCGACTTCGCCCACAGTCGAGTTCTTTTTCACGAGGACGCAATCTCTAAACGCGACCTTCGTGTCTGAACCAGAGCTGAAAGTCGATACGTTTCGTACGGGGAAGACGGGTACGAGACCGAGTATTTCGGCCGCCTTTGAAAGAACCTGGACGACGCCAGTGGAACCATATCGGAACAAGATCATATCTCTATATTCCTCGATGGTGTTCTTATTCTTTTCATCCAACTCCTTCAATCCCCCGCCGTCTGGGTCGCCGTCTGCTATCAGATCTTCGCGTGTATCCACAAACTCAGTTCCCTCCGTATACCTTATATAACCTTGCTTGGCCATTTTTCGCAGGAACAATTCGGCCTTCGCCGAACATGCGACCACCATATTGGGATCCTGCATTTTAGTGATCTTCATGAGATTTGTGTAAGCATCAGAGTCATCGATTTTGTTTAGCGCGATCACCGTGGGGAACTTCTCATCAGTGAATGCGCTGACAACACGGTCCACCGTCTCCTCAGTCCAGTGCTCCAGCGGCTCTTTCAGGTTAAGACGGTCCAGAGTGCGTGCTACTACTGCTGCCGTACTTCCGTAGCCTGAGAACTGTCCTTGAAGGGTCTCGACAGCAGTAGCCTTGACAGCAACATGTCGCCTCTTGATAGAACCCCATTTCTCCCACAAATTCCCTTTGATCCAGGCGACGATCTCACCACGTAACCAGGCTATATCCTGGGAGGGGTCGTATCCTCGTGTATTTTCGCCCTCAGCATTCGTCCTCCCGCTAGCATCCACGACATGGATTAGAGCATCCGCATGTCGGAGGTCGTCTAGAAACTTATTACCCAGACCTCTGCCCTGATGTGCGCCGGGAACAAGTCCAGCTACATCGAGAAGCTCTATTGGCACGGAACGGCGGCCATCAACACACGATCCATAGTTGGGCTTGCATTTATCTTGTACACCGAAGCGCTCGCAGGCGCATGCTATTTGGAGATAACCGATGGCTCGTTGCGGGTCAATGGTTGTGAAACTAAAGAGAGCGCATTGTTAGTTGAAGAGCGAATAAACATTACTGCGGATACATATATCTCTCGTCTTCTAGGCTGATGCATAGGTAGGTACCTAGGTAGACACTATGCACAGGGGACAGGCGTACGGGTAGTTTCCTATGTGGCATCGCAAATATCAGCGCCGAAATTCGGGTCGATAATGTATAAAATAACAGAATAAATTTGTTGGATAGGTTCGACCCACCAACTTTGGACGTCGCATCGGTTAAGCTGTTTAGAGTCGTGCTCTTGCCAGCAGAAGGCTTGCCTACAAGGCCGATTAAGGGATCCCGCGGCATTTCGCGCTTCTTGGAGTTCTCAATAAGACGGATTATGGCACTTGGGCGGGGGATGCAAGGACGAGGTCGAGGTCAAGATGTGGGGTGATTTGCGCCCGTTGCCCGAGTCTCGAAAGAAAACTCAAATAGAGTTTCGGAGAGTGAGACCCGCCGCAACGGCGCCGTAGCTTACTGCTGTATTTTACCTAAGGTACCCGCCTTAGGTACCTAAATACGCGCTATAAAAAGGTACATGTACCTGTAAGTGCTAAGATAGCAGCCAGCCGCAAGCTCGCTTGGAAGTTACATTGCATCATTACCTACCTCATAGCTTGATTTCCTGAACCGTCTACTCTTTTTCACCCATCGCAAGTTTCAGTCACTGCAAAATGCAAACTGAAATACACTTGCGTTAATTCTCCTTAAATATTCCCGGCTTCAACACTCAGAATGCGACGAGGTCACTTTTCGCTAAATGACCTCCCTGCCTGGTCTACTTTGAATTGCGTTAATTTTCTTGATGTTGCAGTTGCTAATATCGATGGCCGAGGCAATGGGCTTATAGCTAAGAAAGACCTGATCAATCCGGAGAGTGACTCGGAACCCTTAACGCTCCTGACAATCCCAAAGGAGCTTATTCTTTCAGCTGAAGGTGTAGAGGAGTATGCTAAAGAGAATAAAAATTTCCGACAGCTTCTGGATACAGCAGGTCGCCAAGTTAGTATACACCTAGCTTTGAAGACAGTGTGATTTATACTAAGTATTATACAGTCAGCTAGAGGAGATATATTACTGTTTCTCTTATATCAACTAGTGTTATCTTCCCCTGACTATCAAGGTGGCCTGGGTCCATCAACGCCCTGGACTCAATATTTAAGTCTCTTACCGTCACATGTGCCGACTCCTACAACGTGGACTGAGTTAGAGCTTTCCTGCTTGAAAGGTACTTCGCTAGAGGTAAGCTGCCAATGGGACTTGATGACTCACCTAAAAGGATCTAATAGTTAAGTACAAGTTGACGCGTTTAGATAGTCAGCGGTAGCCGCTAAACTGACCGTCCTAACTAAGGAGTTCGATGATCTCCGCGAAAATCTGGCCGCCCTGTCGCATTGGAACGAAATTCTCTCGATCGACGAATCGATCACCATCCGAGACTGGATCCTTCTTGATGCCTTGTACCGGTCCCGCTCGCTAGGCTTACCTAAGTCTGGAGAATCGATGGTGCCTTGCCTCGATTTAGTCAACCATTCTAGTCGAGCCAATGCTTATTTTGATGAGAATAGTGAGGGCGAAGTAGTCCTTTATCTACGTAAGGGGTGTGTAGCACCTGTTGGCAGTGAAATTACTATCGATTATGGTCAGGAGAAGTCGCCAGCAGAAATGCTATTTAGCTACGGCTTCATCGACCCGAATTCGGCCGCCAGGAGTATAACGCTACTATTGGAACCATTAGAGGATGACCCGCTTGCGATACCAAAGCTTCATGCTTTCGGTACACCGCCGAAATTAAAGTTAGAAGAAGACGAGAGCGGTGTTCCGCACTGGACTGCCCCTTTTGTGTATCTCATGTGCTTGAATGAAGAAGGTGAGGGTGTCCAGTCTTCTAATATCTTATTTATTGCTATTCTAGCGAGCGATATGACTACTGTTATTGGCATAATTAAGCAATCTAGGGATTTATCTTATTTAGCATGATCTCAATATGTTAACATTGACCACCAAATTTGCAGATGGGCTACGATTCAGAGTCTTGCAGGAGACAGACGGCTCTCGCCATTTAAAAGTATTCTGGCAAGATATCGATATTACGGACGTATCAAATACTATGAAGGATCTCATTCGCGACCACGAATTACACCAGATATTTGAACTACGGGCTGTGACCGTTATCATGGGTATCATTCAACAGCAACTCGAACAACTTATTAGCACTCAAAATGGAGACTCCGTGGTAGAACTGGCAAGCACAGAAGTCTACCAAGCCATTTCGCAATTGAGGTCACTCGAGACTAGCATCCTTCAAAAGAGTATACAGGTTTTGGATGAGCAGGTAAGACTAAACTCTACAGTTTACCTAGATGCCTACTCAGGGATGATCTTGACTTGGACTCAACATGTATTTCCAAATTTTATCAACTTAACCCTTGGGAGATAGAACCACCTAACCCACCATGGCTATGATAACTTGCTAACCCATTTCTAGAGGGACCAGCTCCTCCGGGATGACACCGTGGTACAATATTTGACGATGATGGGATCTGATCAAAATGACCCTGGTACCGACGCCGCCGCTGACGAAGAGGAGGACTTCAGCTAATCCACATCTCCGAATACCGTCCTCGTCTGTACTACTTTGGATTCTACAACAGTTAATAGATTATTCTTGCAGGCAGGGTGCGGCCCACACTAGCAGCGCATTTAATGTGTTTGCATGGTAAGATTGGGATGCAGCTTAATTGCTACAGACTAAGGCAGCTTCTTGCAGATGTGGTATGACATCATGGGCTTAGCACTTTTGATGAGCTAGCTACCTCGTTGGAGAATCAAGAGCAAGATGGTTGACGTGATCAATCCATTCATATCGAAGGGCCGTTGGGCATCATAAGAAGTTCAAAGCTGAACTTACTTACCGTTGATCAACTGTATAATGATAAGAAGCAATCTATGAAGTGTGACTAGCAGACGTGGAGGGCCCTTTGGGATTATAATTCGGACCGAGAACCCTGAACCAATCCTAAGTTGCATACAATCGGTACTCCCTTTATACAAGCAATTCTATCCGCGTACGAGTCTTGTTCCTTACATGACAAGGCCCAGCACTCTGTACCATGATCTCCCTCGCCGATTTATCCACGATGTATGTGCTTTTAACCGGTGGTGACTCTACTACAGCCGCACGAGATACCCCTCCATATGGCATTCCCATGTAGAAAAGAATTGTTTCCTTCAAGATGAACCCCTAAAACGGGCCGTATGTTCTAATATTGTTTAGGTGAAAATTTATCGCCTGACCCTCTCACGCCTATCACTGAGTTTAAATCGATCATGAGCATGGGGTTGGGATGCCTTGATAGCCCCTTTAATGACCGGGTTCGAATTTCGCTCATCTTAGAGCGGCTTTAGATCGATGGGATGCAGACTCTTTCACAGAAGTCATTTAGATTGTAACTATATCAGAGATCCTGATAGATGAAGTTCCTGTAGAAAAAAACAAGGTCTTTGGCTTATATGTTTGCCGATCGTTTCTTCCGAGGGGGCTAGGTATAGACTAAGTCGCACACTAGATAGAAAGGCCGATCTAACAGGCCCCCGTTTGCTCTATCAAGATATTACTAGGAGATCACGGCTATTAAGTAGTAAGACGAATCATCGAGTTCCCCAATACTACTCCTCTACTTTAGAGTAACGAGTCGAGAATTTTGAAGCTGATTTAGCAAGCCGGTAGAGATGGAATACCTATTACTATAGTAGATAAAGGTTGAGTACGATGTCTCTAACGTATAGTCGATGACTAAATATTTTTCTAGGGTACTATATTCTAGTAAGTAGCCTCCAAGTACTATTTAACTTTAGTGTTACACTCCTTGTACTGTCCTAATTTCCAGAGATGATACTAAGAGTCGCTAACTAACCGGGTTATTAACGCTCGCAGCGTAGCCCTGGTACATTGGCGTCTACTTCAAGCGTCGCACTGCATATAGGTAGGATATAGGAACCGGTCGGCCGAGGCAGGGAGGGTGTCTTGGCGGCGGTCACGACCATTCCGAGAGCTGCAGCGATCGAGCAGTGCGACGGGGATGGCGTGGTAGGACTTGAAAACGTGGTTTATATCTATCTAAGTACCTCGGTACTGAACGGCGCCGGCCTATAGTTACGGAAATATACGGGTTCTATAGAAAGCTGCACCTCGCTCGTGAGCAGCCCACAACAAAGCCTACCATATCTACCTAGGTACATAGGTATGTATTAGTTGAATGGTAGGGAAGTATTTTGCATCCGTATTTTGGAGTAACTACCTAGGTAGGGATAGGTACACGATTTGAGGCACTCCATAATTCACTATTTCATATTTTAGGTATGATAGCACACCGAAACTGCCTCCTGCTTGGTATATACACATTTATCATACACACCTATTATACATAGGCTAAGAATAGGTGGACCGTCGCAACGGCTTCGCGTATCTGCGAAACATCGAAACCTGGGGTAATTCCCCAGATAAAAGGGAATGGGGATGGCAGATATTTCGGAATTCCAGAAGCATTGGCCTTGCTGTGCCTCTCTAAGCTCGGGGAACTAACTACGATGGTGGCACGAGTGGTGTCATTCTTTCGTTATTTGGCCATGGCGTGCCAAGCCCTATTTGAGAATATCATGGACTAGATTGTCTTAGGGGGTTTTTAGGGACTTGGGAACTTCGGAACTTGGGGACTTGGGAACTAAATAATGGAAAGTCCACGAGCCTCTAGCGTCTAATGCATGCAGTTGTAGTATCCACACCAATATTGGCATCTCCAGCCAACCATTGCTGCCTCATTACTTTAGGCCTCTCATAGTTACGTGCGTGATGGGCCTTTCTTGCGTGGTTAGTGCACCGATGCTAGGATAGGAAAGGCGCGTGGAGTGAAGGATGATGTAGGTTGTAAGTTGAGTCTCTCAACGTTTTGTCTCTACATACTTCTCTATTCCGTACATACCATGTCAGTAAGCCCGGGATGCCTACTCTAGCTTACGCATCTATGCACCCCGGTTCTTTTCGAGTTCGGCATTCAGACAACTTTTGTTCTAACCGGACGCAACAGCAAGTCTTAACATACATTTACATACATATATGTAGGTGTATACGTAGTTATTAGTTGTGTAAATATATACTTAACATATTGTAGATATAAAATAGAACTTCCAGGTTGCCACTTTCAACTTGTAACATACCTACCACTTAACTAGTACCTAAGGTAACCTTATGTATTCTCCTTAATTACACTATTACGACATTGCTTAATCTCCTCTCGGGGCAATATGTAATCATACATGTACCCCCGGTTCTTTCCCTTTTATTCATCATTCTACTATACTGTTCTAGCCTCTCAAGCTAAATATTATCGGACATAAAAACCTGATGTAATAGTTTTTAGTTATTGGATGTTGTACTTTCCCTTCCTCCCCTTCCTACCCTGAAAAGGCGTTTCCCCTTGTCCCCCAGATTCATTAGCGCACGCCAATTTAGTGCAAATACCCCGCTGATCTCTGAAATCCATCTGGAGTAGCGGGCATTGGTGCTTCCGTTTCTCGCCTTTTCCTCCACTAATCTTTCTGTCCCCACGTATCCTCAATCCTCTCACTTTTTGCTTTCCCTACTTTTCTATATCTCTCCGCCTATTTCTCCCACCAACGACTATATCTACTACGCGCCAACCTATACTACCGACGAACACTAGGTCATAGCGAATTTGCGTCCGAGCGGGTTTCATTACGACACGGCCTCCCCTGGACTTGCACGCGACTAGGCACCAAGAGATGAGCAATTTTCGCGATTCCTGGTAAATTGCTGACATACGCAATCGGCGTTACCGAGAGACCGACCGATACCGATATCCCATGGGATGGGGAACTGGGTGCTGGATTTGACGCGAACACATTCTATCGACGGGATCGCCTTGTAACAAAATAGATTCACCGCCAAAATGCCTGGAATTCTACCTATGAAGGTGATTAAGGTGGGCACCAGCTCACAGAGCCGCATCGCCCAAGCATGTGATAGGTATGTGAAGTGGAAGAGGATATTTCCGATATTCTCTGGTATCTCTTACTAAGACTATAGTAGGTGCCGAAGTAAGAAGATCCGTTGCGATGGTATCCGTCCCTGTTGCTCGCAATGCGCCAACGTCGGATTCGAATGTCGCACTAGCGACAAACTTAGTCGGCGTGCATTTCCTCGAGGTTATACAGAATCACTTGAGGAACGAGTGAGGCAGTTGGAATCCGAAGTGAGGGAACTGAAGGATTTGTTAGATGAGAAAGACGAAAAGATTGATATGTTGTCGAGGATGCATGATCATCGCCAACCATCTATGGGAGCCGCCGGAAGCCCGAGGACGACGGAACAGAGAAGGGACCCTAACTCGCCACCAAAAGAAGATACTTTCCGTGTGCAGGCCTCTCCGTTATTACTTGGTGTCGAGAATTCGGACTCATATTTCATGGGGCCATCGAGCGGACGTGGTTTTATCGGTAAGTATTTCATCTAACTCACGCTGATGAGAAATATCTATCTGACTATATTTCTAGAATCTTTCAAGCGTAAACTTCAGGAAAGCGGAAAGCCGTGTTCTGACTTCAACCCTGAGGCTTTCCTTCACATCCAAGGATGCTACCCTCTGGTTGCTAACCCGCCCCCCCAGTCGATGAGAGTGCCACCTCGCCTATTTTCGGATAGATGTGTAAATGTTTATTTCCAGGAATGGGCGCCACTCTTCCCCGTGCTTCACAAACCGACATTTCTCCGGTTATACGAAGAATTTGTTGCCGACTCGGAGAAGGTAAAAAACAATCATAAGCTCGCGCAGCTTTACCTCGTCTTCAGTATCGCCGCTCTTTCAAGTGACGCACCAGATGTAGAGCAGATAACCGCCTGCGAAGCCCAGTGGCAAAGGGCCCTTGACGCAATCATTATGGACAATACGATGATTACACTGCAGTGCCTAGTATTGGCTCTGATCTATTGCACTATCAGAGCCGATTACAAGCGATTGCAGCACTACAAAGGTGTTGCGGTTGGTCTATCCCACAGATTGGGGTTACATCAAAGCCAGAAAAGATTCTCATTCGGTGCTCTTACGATCGAGACACGAAAGAAAGTCTTTTGGACGTTGTATACACTCGATTGGTAAGTCATTATCTAGCCGATATCGCTTGGCGGTTGACTAATAGCCTTAGCTTTTCTGCTGCCATGCTTGGCCTTCCCAAGTTGCTGAAGGAAGATGACATCCACGCCGAGTATCCGTCAGATACTGACGATGAATATGTTACGGAGAAGGGATTTCAACCCACTCTACCAGGAGAGTATACGAGATTATCGAGTGCTTTAGCGTTATTCAGAGTTTCCCGAATTCTTGCAAATGTGCTTGAAAAGACATATCCGGCCGCTACATCTTACGAATTATCATTACAACAAATTTCAGCGCTGGATGCAGATCTCTCAGATTGGTATGAGAATCTGCCTGCTCACCTCAGGCTAAACTTTGCCCAAGACAAACCATCAACAGATATCACTGGGAGTAGATCCCCGATTCTGGTATGTAGATAAAAATATTTGCTAGTTAATGAAGTAAAGGCTGATCTTAATAGGCATTGGCATACTACTATGTCCGGGGACTTATTCATCGCCCTGCAGTGGGCTCTACCTTGGGAGTCAAAGCTGCGTCAGCTCTTATTACGGTCGGAGAGTCTAGCAAGCACATCGTGCAGATCATTGAACTCTTAGAGGAGCGAAGTATGTCATTCTCATTCTGCCTAAATAGGACAGATGTTCTTGTTCTGTGTGGGACGAGCTTGCTTTACCAAAGCTTAGAATTGAAACACGAGAGCAAGATTATGAAGGATGTTGAACGACTTGTCAATAGCGTTCTCAAGATGCTACTAAAAACGAAAGCCCCCGGCTCTTACGACCTGAAACGAGTCGCATCGACGCTTGTTACTATCGATGTACCATCTCAATCCACGTCAATGCGGACTAGTCCTGATACGGCCATGGCTGCTCCCCCTTCGAGGACATCCCCGTTATTGAATGTCTCGAGGAAGAAATCGCCTTACAGTGCTGGCCGAGTTGCCGGCGCGACTATGAGCGAGACAGACCTGTTATCTCAGCAAGAGAAACTACGCCGTATGGCCATACCCAATACTCAAACTACCCGACAAGAAATACATCGCACGCAATCACGTGCATCACTCGATATGAGTGCAGAGCAGGCAATGCCCCGCCGCGATCACCGATTCTCGATATCCCAAATTCAGCAAACGATGATGCGTATGTCGCCGAGTCACAGATCCAAACAGCGAAATCTAGATTACCTCTCACTCAACGATGCGCAGGCTGAGACACAGCCTTCGCCGCCGAATCAAACTCGAACTCCCTCGCAGCCGTTGGCTCATAGCCAGCATCAACGCCCTCAGCCATACAACCCAAATCAAGTAATTAATAAGGGCGGCTCAAGTGGTGGTGTGTCGATATCAGAATGGGAAGCATTGCTTGGCGCAATGGATGGAGGCCAGATTAATGTATACGACGCGATATACGGAGGACCAGCCTTGTCACTCACAGAGACACCAACCAGTGCAGGTACCATGGGCGAATGGTCTCCAGAGTCATGGGACCTTTCTAGCTTCAATATTGGCGAACTAACGACTAATCCGGGGGCACCTCAGAGCGTACTCAGCATCAGTGATGAGAGTCTTAGCTCCGGAGATGATCTCACATCGAGCGAGATGTACCTCAGGATGGGGAGCGAGGACTACCAAAGCGGGTTAATGCCGCCGCCGCGGACGAGTCACGACAATAACCTAATTCTTGATGGTCTTGAGTTGAATTTAGGGATCTGATTTCTTGCGAGAGGAGACGAGCATGCCAAACACGGGAGGCGGGGTAGCCGGCGAGGATTCTGTTATCCGCGGTCTGTAAGATCCTTTTCCTTGGTACGTGGCGTCGATATAGAGAAGGGTCGTATTTGTGTCGCGGGATTGGTTACGAGTTGCGTGGTCGTGAGAACCAGGCGACGGCAGGAGAATGGCTTCTAGGTGTTCAAGGCGATCAGAACGCTTTTGGCGTTGTTTTATATGCGGCATTTGGGTTGTCTATGGTTGGAGCTTGTACCCATGGTCTATATTGGTCTATATTGGTCTATATTTGGTCTGTTGATCTACTTATCTGTCTACATACGTTGCCTCTTATTCCATGTACCTTTCCACGCTTGTTGTAAAAGCTAGTTATTTATATATACGGGGTGCGACGGAGCAGGTCGATCCCACGAGTTAAGTGTTAAGTTGATTAGGAAGAAGAGAAAAAGAAAAGTCAGAAGTATTTGTGCGTCTTTTGCATGTGATGATGATGGTTGTATCATACTGGCATACTGGCATACAGGTGCCGGCGTAGCTTATAAGGAAATAGACGGGAATGCAGGTAAACCACGTGTCGAGCAATATACTTGGTATATAGTGGATTCAGGCTAAGTGATGACGAAGACGCCTCGAATAAATTGAAGGCCTCGTAGAATTAATATAATAGGGCTGGTTAGATGTAGGTACGGGTACACGGGTACACGGGTACACGGGTACCTTGGTGTGGTCTTATTCCGGTATGGGTCACGAGTTGCTGGGTACTTACAGAGATACGGATTACCGACTTTAGAAATGGGGGATTCGGGATTTAGAAGGTTTCTAGATAAGCTAATCCCGTAATCTGCGGCTACCTGCCTGCATAGTACGAAGTGCGTATTAGACAATACAAATCCTTCACATCATATCACATCACATCACATCCATACCGCATACTGGCGTTTTTGCTCGGATTAAGCGGAAGTTTTGCCCCGCCCTCCGACGCTGTAACCCACCTAAGAGAAAGACCACTTAGAAAGACCACCGGCCGCGTTTCGTTTTTTTTCCCCAAAATCTTTCGGTAGTTAGACTTACATAGTAGACGCCGGCCATGTTGATTGCATACGTCCCTACCCGATATGCTGTTCTTATAATGTAAAATTTAATTTGATATTACCTTCTTCCGTGCTTCTTTGCTTTCTCTCCTTGGCAAACGAGCAAAAATACCTTTAGACTTAGATATAACCGTCTTCACCCCCCAACTAGTCTCCGAACAGCCAATGGGTAGGAAGAACGCCAAGCCAGCTGCCATGTCTAATGAGCAGACCCCGTTGTTAAAGAGCGACGGCGATGTCGTTGGGACCGGGACGCCGGGTATGTTTTATCCTAAAGGGAGGATACCGAATATACCCCGAGTTCGCCAAGAACCCCGACCCGTAACCAAGTCCTTGCTAACGGTTCCCGTGCCCGACGAGCAGCAGGTATTCCCGCGCCCCGGTCCCGCGATGCTACCTCCGAACCACGGCGTCCGCCGCAGGCCATAGCCCACCGAGGCTACAAGGCTTTGTTTCCCGAGAACACGATGCTGGCGTTCCGGGCCGCTGTCGAGGCCGGCGCGCATGCTATCGAGACCGACCTGCACTTGTCCAAGGACGGTGTCGTTGTTCTCATGCATGATCCGAAGCTGAAGCGCTGCTTCGGCGACGACTCCAAAGTCAAGGACCACGACTGGAGTTATCTGAGCAAGCTGCGTACAGTGCGCGAGCCCCCGCAGCCTATGCCCCAGCTCGTCGAGCTGCTGGAGTATCTGAATCAGCCCGAGCTGCAGCACGTTTGGATCATGCTTGACATCAAGGTAAATAACTCGGTTCTTAGGTAGAATTACTAGGGTTGTAGCGCAAATGTAGAGTACCTTGTCTGATATAGAGCTTGTAGAGGGACGACGACCCAGCCACGATCATCCGGCGAACGGCGGAAACACTGGATTCGGTGCCGGGGATTCGGCCGTGGCACGAGAGGGTGCTGCCTTGCTGCTGGACTGTAAGCATACATGTCCTCCCTTGATTCTTAGGCTCGTACCCCAGGCCTTTGTAACAATGATGCTAAACCGCAGATAGGCGGAATACGTAAAGCTAAGCAAGGAATTCCTACCTAAATACCCAGTCGCACACGTAGGCTTCTCAACCACATATGCTCGGGCTCTAGCAAAGCACGAGCCTAGCCTGTCGATCAGTCTGCTATATCACTCCCTGGTGCTACCGGTTGTCGGCGCGCGCTTCATCCGGGATGCGAAGAGGGCGGGACACCCACTGCATTCCTGGACCGTGAACGATGAGGACCGCATGGAGTGGTGTGTGCGCAACGGTCTCGATGGCGTCGTCACGGATGATCCTAAGTTATTCCTCGAGGTGTCTAAACGCGTCGCGGAGGACGAGGCGAAAAGCGAGGCCAAGGCCGTTCGTAGGAGGCCGTCTAGGAAGCCCCTGTCTACGCACGCGTGGCGCGTTTTCGAGTGGACGCGGTATATACTCGGCTTGTTCATCGTCGTGAATATTTACCTGTTCAAATACGGGCTGCCGCGGACACAGGTGCCGAAGGTGTTGGGGAAGTAATGATGGGTATTATCTCTAACTACTAGGTATTACGCGTTCTGTTTAGGAGTCGCTTCGTTAGGTTATGTATAGACGGTAATGACGAAAAGAAGGAAGGAAAGAAAGAAAGAACGAACGATAGACAGATATTTGAGAGGGGATCGGCGATATACGTCGGTATGTTTAGATATGGTAATGCGGGATGAGTCTTATCCCTTGGGGTTAATGGTCGAGAGGTGCGTAAGACGTGGGGATTGGAGATAGAGATATAAAGGGAAAGTGTGTTAGCGAATAAATAGAATACCCTTATCTTCTTAACAGGACGTACAGCAGAGTCGTCTATTTGCCCCCCTAGAGCTACCTACTCTAGATGTCGTTGCTAATAGATTAACTAGGAAGTATATCTTAGGCGAGATGTATACTACCTAGTATTTTCAATGATTAGATATTGATATTGATATTTTATGTCATTATAATTTGGGATGGAACTAAAGTCTATACTCTATAGACTGTGAGAGGCACATTGGTGATATAATTGACATTGTTACGTACCTGTCTCTATTAAATACGGCCACGTCCAGTAGTGACTGTTATCCCTAGGCCGAAGTTATGTACCTAGTTAATAGGATTGTTGTATGAAATGCTCTTGTATACTTTCGACTTTGTCAAGTTCGTAGCTAATGATTCTATCTATGTTGATGCTATGCCAGGTAATACTATAGCGCCGAAGACGAGCTCAAGATCTGGGGCTAACGGAAGCGACTGAGATACTATATACCAACTGCGTATATTCTACTCTGTTATATAATTAGCATGATGCTTTGCGGATATTTAGGTCGACGCGACTCAGCGACTTCAGGGGGGGGGAGGTGGGACTAGCATGATGCGATATCACAATCCTGTGTGGTTATCGTGTACAGGGCCTTATTAGTGGTTAGATAGTTGAAAAGCACCCTCGAAATAGTCGGTGCTGGCAAATTAGTTGCTACCGGGAGGTTCATGTTGAAGATGGCTAGAGAAGAGGAGTATCATAAGGGGTATTTGGTATTTTACATAAATATCGCCTTATAGCGATGACATTTCACGCCCTGTGTCTCTTGGAAGATATAGTGGTTTCCTACACTCGGCATTAGATGTGTAACGGGCTAGATGAACGACTTAGGGGTAGGCTACGCATTATATTATACTTAGAAAGACATTTAGGAATATACGTGAGGAAAAAATCAAATTTGCGGAGGAATAGAAGCCTTAAATTAGTCTACTGACTATCTGCGTACGTATCTGGGTATCTTGACCGTGAATGCGAAGGAAAAACCAAGTTATGGTGACAAACCCTTCCACCCGCCAGAACCGCAACATCTATTACTACCGCAACTAATGTCCTCTCCAATCCATCAAGCCTAGCGACAAGAACGCGAAGCTTAACCAACCCGGTTTCCTCCGAAGTCGAGTGCAGGATCAGTCGACGTTCTTAATTCGGACTAAGTAGTTGGTCTAAGAACGTGAGCTCTCTAGGCCACCAGCAGCAGCAGCGCCATCATCGTCACCATCAGCGTCTCGTCGGGCTTTCTTCACGACAGCGTCCGAGCCGGACGGCTCGTCGTCGGCCTTGCGTTTCCGTGTGACCTTGAACTTTGCACGACGCTCAGCCTTCCCTTCTTCGCCAGCACCCTTCGCAGTCGAAGCTGTGGCTTGAGGCTGAGGCTGATGTTGCTGGGGCTTGTTGGGTTTGGGTCTGTTCTCAGCAACACCGGCGTAATGGATTCTAAGGAGAGCTTCAACCCACGTCACGTTGTTGGCTAGGAGGGAGTCATGGTTGACAGGGCTAGAACGGCTATGCGACGGGATGACAGCGTCGGGGCCAACGTCCTCCAAGAAACCGCGGACCATGACATGAAAGAATTGATGGCTACGAAAAAAAGGAGTTAGCGACGGAGTCCCTTGGAGATAGAGAATGAGAGCGGGCTGGGGAGGACTTACCGTACGGCGTCCGCGGTGAGGCCATAGTTTTTAGCCTTGTTTAGCATATCTGCTATCTCCTGCCATTCGAAATTGAGCCAGGACATATGTGGGCGGTTGTTCCTCATTATGCCCGTCATTATGGCCATTGCGACATGATACTTCTTATCAGCATCCCACGTTTCAGCCATCTTGAACTCTGTCGGCACGGTCTGTAAAGCAGTCAGTAGAGGTACTACGTCTAGTGTATTCATATTAAGGTATAGGGTTCGGGGTGGATGACATTACATCGGGTGTAATGTTAGTTGAGGAAGACATTAGTGGGATATAGTATAGGGATTGGTAGAGTAAAGGTAAGTCATAATGAGACCAGGTAAAAGAGACATAGATCGAAGTGTAAGAGTGTAGACGCTTCGTAAGTGCACGATAGCGATAGCGATGGGAGCGAAAAGGTACACGACGTAGATCAATACAAGAAAGCCATGGATCAAGACCTTACCTTTTGGAGATGAATGTGTGGTTTCGCGTGGTCGAAGAACACGCGTAGGCGATGTGGTTGTAGATCGTGCTGGCTGCGAAAACGAAGATGTTGGCCAACCTATGCGACGCAGAGGAAGTAAAATGCCAATGTGTATCTGGGACAGAAACACAGAGACATATGAAGTAGGATGTCAACAAGTGACTAGAACAGGGACAGTGGAAGAAATTTGGAAAGTGGGACAGAAGAGAAGGTAATCTTCAAATTTAAAAAGTGAAGGTGGTGTGGCCGAGAGTACCAAGGTAGAGATGAACAGAGTAAGGCCTCAGGATCAGTACTGATTAGTACCTAGGTATTTAGTTGGTTGGGTAGAGAACTAAGTAAGCCCCACGAAATATAGACGCCGAGCTCTTAGAAGCTATGATACAGGTGACGATGTATACTTGTCGTGGAGCATACAGTCCGCCTACCACCTCTGCCAGTCTGATGTTAAGAAAACCTCCTTCCGAGGGCCACGGTACCTCCTAGTAACTTCCCAACCAAGTAGCCCGCATAAATCCCACAGACTATGGTCACAGGCCACTTCTGCCACTCCCGGTCCCAGTCCAGAGGAATAGGAACGGCGCCGAGCCAAGCTCCTACACAGCCGCCGACGAGGCCCCCAAATGCCTCGTCGAACGGGGCACTGGCACTCAGGATCTCATGCCAGTCCTTGCTCGACACACCACGTGTGTAGAACAATGGGAAAAGACCTAAGACGGACAGATGCGTCGAGCATAAGAACGTATTCTCGATGTGGGTTAAGAAAGGGGCACCAAAGAGAACAAGGATGACATGCAACGCCAGACTTGCTATGGCTGACAGTATGAGGGCGACAAGTGTTGTCTAAGAACATTGTCAGTTTATGAACGAAGCATTCACGGAGAACGAGAACATACAACCGCTATGTTTGGTCCTGTGTTCTCCAATCCAACCTTCTTCTTCTCTCCAGGTCGAGCCTTCTTAACTGGCTTTGCAACATGAGAGCCTACAGCGGGCAGACACACGACGGCATATGTGACTTGTATAGCCGCAACTACAGGAAGAGAGCTTGACATAGCTGATACCGGATCTGCCACCAGAGCCCCGAACCGGGCGAGGAACAAGGAGAGAAGCAGGGCTGGCTGGAGGTGTCTAACAACCTGGGCCTGCAAGGATGCTATGATCTGAACGGGTTGTGTTTGAGCATCTTTATCCTTGTCCTTAGAGATCTCACCAACCTTAGCTTTTTGAGCTGGTGGTGAGATTGCGACTGAATCCGATGAAGGCATTATGGATTTAGTTAAGCGTGATAAGTCATCGAATGAAAGAAATGTGATGTCTACTGATTATTGTGATGAATAAGTGTTTGTTGCCAAAAGCATTTATGTACAATTACAATTAAACGGCGCAGTTAACTTTAGTTGAGTCGCGCTTCTAAATTGATGCTACCTTCCAAACGTTTGACGCACGGACCTTTGTTACAGTCACGTGTGGCGGATAACATTGCTTATCGCGACTATTGGGGCAATTAGTGTGTTTTTTTGAATGCTACAGGTGCACGTATGGACTTGAAGAAGGATATGGTCGATATGGCATCCATAAAATAAAGGGAATTGTGTTACCTAGGTATGTAGTTAATTGTTATCAAGTCTCATGTAACTCCAGCCATTATCAAGTATCAATGCATTGTCTATTGTAAGGTTCATATTACTATGAATATGCCTTACCTACCTAGGTAGCCAATTATTTGACTGTACTACTTCGAATTGACATTCAAGTTGACATGTCGTCAGATCAGGAGCTAGCCTCGTGCTTGGGGATCAAGTTACGAAGCGACAGATCGTAGATAACATCCTCAACTTTCTTAACGTGGTACTTGACGGCATCAACTCGCTTCCGAACGATGTCGTTCTTCAAGTTGAGCAGCTGGAAGCCGGCAAATAAGTCCTTGATGAAGCTGCTGATTCTGACCGTCAGATCGATATCACCCATCGTTACCGAGTTCATAGCTAGCCGACTGAGCTCCTCGGTGATATCTGTCAGGGCTAGGATGTATTCCTCAATAGTAATGTGAAATGCATCTCTGTCTTTGAGATTGACGGGTACTGAATATGAAGAATGAGTACTAGCGATAGTGTGACAGCTAGGAAGTAAACGTACCTTTCAAAAGCTGCCCGACCTCTTCGATGGTCAGAAGACGACCAAGCTCGCCCGGGCGCGACTCGGTCCCCAAACCACCCAGCCAGCCGGTCAATAAGATAGTACCAACAACATTCTGCATGCTTCGGGACCATCTGTGGTTGTATCTTTTCTCTTGTTAGCTATTTTGAGCAATGCAAAGAGAAGGCTGGTGAAGTACTTGTAGTAAGGATAGGTAGATGCAAACTGGGCTAGCTCGCCAACGCTTTCGATCTCGGGCTTGATACCATCCTCCTCAACCTGCTTCAATAACGGCGGCACTACAATAGGTATCAGCGATGCACGAAACCAGCCATAAGTATAGCATGCTAATATGTACTCACGCTTAGAGCTGGGGGTCGAATGGATACGGCTGAGAAAGCCTTGGCAGGTTGAGATATGGCGATTGAGAGCAGAGGTGATGTGGTGAAGCTTGTCACCGACCTCGATCTCCTCCTCACCATGAGCCTTGAGGTACTCGAAAATGGACGGGTCGATCAAATTGGAGGGACCGTTGTCAGCCATTTTGAGGTTCGTTGGGTAGAATGTGAAGAGTCAAAGTTTTTCAATTGAACTATTATGACGATGAGGGGCAGGGCTAAACAACGGGAAGGCCCGATGATGCTTGCCTTGCTTGCTTTACAATTCAATAAATCGTTTCTGATGATCACCAAACAGCGTGAAATTATGTTGTCGTTGAAATCGCGTATTTGCTTAGAAATAGAGAAAACATGTACATAGCACGTAGGCTGCCGCGATTTCAACAATCGAGATATCTAGATACTGCTCTGATTTATGGATTACAGCAAACATTCACGCATAATTCAATTTGACCATCGGTGCTACGAAAAATTAGAATGTTGGAAAATAATTAGGTCTGCCGTAACAGCACTCAGCTTGATCGCGCTCGATATTTTCATTGCTACGATCAATTCTACAACGGTATGGACAGTAGGGCAATTACTACCATCTATTAAACATACGACGTAAACACTACTATTGAAACTCTTCCTCACGTCCCCAGGCAAGCTAGGAATTGCAATGAAAAGTGTTCGCGTCACCTGGAGGCAGTGTAATACCAGGGACACGGTGGGTGCGATCATGGGCAAGCCCAGAGGATGCGCTCCCTCGATGCAAAAATTAGAATAATCACGATTGAGTTCAAGTAGAACTCTTTCAGAGATTAAACTGAAAAGAACAGATACTACACTTGATCTAAGCCAAAAGGC